GAGCATCACTTGTTATGTGACCCCTCATAGTCATCCTTTTGTGTTCTTTGGGGGCCCTGCCCAATCATAGGAAAGCTTATGTGTGATAAGAATCTACCTTATTCCTCCTTTGGACCACATTTACTCAACACTGGTCTTCAACTACACCTGTCTTTTTCCATAATACCTCAAAGACTACCAACAGTGCTTTGATCAGGGATGTCATTTATTCTGGGATAAATTTCATAGGCTGAGTGTCCTACATAAAGTTTTGTGTTTTCTTTAAAACATCCTTTTTCTGAGGTCTCAGCTTCCACTTAAACTTTTTTTTTTTTTTAAAGCTTTTCAAATGGAAGATAAAATTTCTTTGAAGAACAAAGAGAATCAGAAGACATCGTCTGGTTTCTCTTACATATGAATCTAAAATAGTCTGTCTCTTACATGATTGTCACATTGAGGCTAACAAATAAATCAAAATTTTGTTGTCCTTAACATTTTTATCAATCACTCAATTAGATGAATGAGTAAAGAAGGAAATGGCAAGAAGAGGTTTTAGACAGTCTAGAAATAGAAAACAGTCTGATATATAATTTGTAGGTCATCAGTAATTCAGATAGTCCACTGTGAAAGTTGCTAGCTAATTTGTATTTGGTGCTTTTCCCTAAACATCCTTTTCTTAAACTGTTTAGTGTAGTGGAATTGAATGTGATTAGTAATTTATCAAAGCTCTGTTGATTGCAAAATAATAGAAAACTCAAATCTAATGGCAGTTTATTGACAAATTGCTCATAAAATCAAGGATAGGAGAAACTTTAGTCATGTTTAAACCAAGAGTTTATAGGATGTTCAAGGACTAAAAGACACATGCCCATCCATCCATCAGTCCACATCCTCCTTATTGAATTGTGTGATACTAGATGACCACAGTGGCTGCTTGTGTCTTTCTTAGATTTAAGTTCAGCAAAAAAGGAACAAGTTTTTAATAGTTCATTATTAGTCCATTCCAAATCTCATTCACATTTCTGAATCCATGAAAGCAATGAGGGTATGTTTTTCTAGGGTGGAACCCAGTTCAGATTTAATGTTAGGAAAGGACAGATCCCTAAACCAAAAGGGAAGCTGTTGCCAAAAGATGGGGGAAAGGGCTGTTGAGTTGACAACAAAAATCCACAGCAGTGTCCCTTCAGTATTTATTTGATTATATAAGTTGGTGTCATTAGTGTTATTTAACTATTTTTGAACTAAAGAAACTTCCATTATGATCTAGAAGATGTGAAAACTTAAAGTGGAGGCAGTATAATGGAAGCAGCATGGCCTTCTACTCCTAGCTCAATTACTACCCCTTTTGTTGAGGGATTTAAGGGCATCCAATAAATAACATTTTTTTCTCTTATTTACATTCTTTTGAAAGAAAAGAAAAATATTGGCACCTAGGAATGAAAAAAAAATGCTATCATTGCTTCTTTAAATGAACATGTTAGCAAACTGCCTTCTGAATATTTATGTTCATACCCAGAGACTGATGTAGACTCATCTCATGTTTGGTCACAATGCTAACAGTAAGTGATTGGTGAGCATTCAGTCTTAAATGGAATCAATGTCTCAGCCCCCCCCCCAAGAATATCACAGAAGGGGGAGGTGGATGAATTTAAGAGACAGAGGATGGGGAAGAGTGTCATGAATAGTTGTCATCTAGATACAACATTGCCATTGCAACCATGAATACATAGCATCTGTGGGCACCTGCACAAGATCGGGCCCTCCAACTGTCCACCATGGGTAGAGCACGTACTTGGGAGGTTCCACCCCTTTCTGAAGAGTTAACACTCCTTTACTATTATTTTTATTTTATTTTGTTTATAGGGATGTATTTTTGCCTGTATGTAGGTAGGTGCATCCATGTTGTGGAATGCCCACAGAGGTCAGAAGAGGTCTCTTGATCCCCTGGAACTGGAATTAGGGGCAGTTGTTAGCTGCCATGTTGGTGCTGGGAATCGAACCCACGTCCTCTGCAAGAGCAGCCAGTGCACTAAACCATCTCTCCAGCCTAGGAATTAATACTCCTGATGATTTCTAGAAGAGGGGGTATCATTTTCTCATAATAGTGTAGCCACTGAGGGACTAGGTGAGAAGAGGAAAGAGTTTAGAGAGAAATGAACAGCAGATGATAGTGGGGGAGTGAATATAATCACAATACTTACAAATTATACTGTCCGCAAAAAAGAGAAAAAGTGTTACTGTTGATGACGTCTAAATGGAAGATGATTTTGCACAACATCAATGACTTTCTGACATGGAGCTTATAACAAGCACTTTCCTCTATTCCAAGCACTTTGAACAACAGTGGGCTTTTTAATTTGGGGTCTGCTCCTTAAATTTCGTTGTAAAATATATGAGATCTCATTCCTAAGAGGCAGAGAGGGTAAGAAGTCTCTATCTGTTTCCTCTCGGAAAATCACTTAGACACATCATTATCTCAGTGGTAATTGGTGAGGTAGCAGGCCGGGAGTTAGGGAGGAAATCTCTTTATAGAAACCAAAGGACAAATGGACACACATGCCCTTGTCACCACACAGACTTAAGTATCTTAATTATTTTATCTCTTAGACAAATTATCTATGTTAGAGTTGGTGTGATGTTCCAGCCAACAAAGTTTAGGTATGGAAACTGAAGATTATCAAACAGCTACATAGTCTAATTTTTGAGCTTGATTATTATAATAATTGATGTGAGTAGGTGGGAACCCACTTTACCTAGGAGATAAGTTAAATTTGGTAATAATTGGGCAAGTGTAGGGTTTATGGAGTGGGAGGAAGAAGGCAATGAAAGAAAATGCCTTAGAGAACCCATTGCTATTTTATTCTTGCAAATTTAACCCAAGGCAACCAAACTTTTCTTAGTCAGTCATCCTCAACTCTACTGGTCTAAACTTTCACATTTTCAGTCAGCTCTTCATCCCAGTGCTTGTCAGTGTGCTCCCTGAACAGATAGCATCTGTATTGTCAGGAAACTTGATAGAAGTATGAGTTGTGGACTCCAGGCTTAACTCTCTAAACTTATAACTCTGGAGATAGGGTCCTGCAATTTGTATTTCAATGAGCCTTAGTTGACTCCCATGTCTGCTGAAGTATATGGATCACAAACCATGATTTGCAAACATCCTATAGCAACTTAATAGATAAAATTAATTATACTTGCCAATTTCTTTTCCAATTGTCACATAGTTTATTATTATTATTATTAACATTATTAAATAGTTAGAGATAGATTTTCTTGGGAAGGAGAAAAGTTGATTCAGGTAACTAAAATTTGAACTTGAATGCTGAACAGGCATATACACTGGTACTGCATTTTTTTTCCTGTGTTTTAGTAGTGTCACAACACCTGTCTTAACTAGGTGAAGTAGCAAAGTGTACAAAAAGCTGGATACAGGTGATATTACCAAAGGAAGAATTAACCAGACGCAGCAAGTGACTGAATCAGGAGAGAATGGTATCTAAGATGATAGGAGTTCATGCCTGGGTACTTAGAGTGGTGGTGACTGGAAGGGAGCAGCTGTCAGGGAATAGGTTGAATCCAATCTTTAGCAACGTAGAGGAAGAAGAATTGGCAAGTCATTTTAGCTAGGTTAGAATAAGAGAAATTGAAAATATAGTGAAGAAATTGAGGCAATGTATTCATTTGTTTCTCAAACTTTTATTGTCAGTGTTTTTTTGTTTGTTTGTTTGTTTTAGCATTTTTGAGACAGTCTGCCTATAGCCACTGCTGGCCTAGCTATTTCTGTGTAGACCAGGCTGGCCTCGATGTCCCAGAAATCCGCCTGCTTCTGCCTCCCAAGTGCTGGAACTAAAGGCATGCACCACCCTGCTCACCTTACTGTCAATGTTTATATTTTATTATATTCATTGTTTTATTTTCTATCATGGTCTGTCATAATTCTGGATTCTCAGAATATACAAATGAGCAGACCCTACTCTCAGAGCTAGTGTAGGTAGAAGGAGAGAGAATAATGACAGTTGATGAATGAACCAAGTAATTTAGAAAATAGATGAGCAAAGAAAATTAACAGAAAAGACTAAGGATAGAGAACTTCTTTAGTTTGACATTCAGAAGACTTGAGGTGGGGATATGATGGAAATCATGTGGAGAGACGGTTTTAGAAAGCCAGAGGGATAGCAGAGTAGCCAAGGAGAACTGCTGGAAAGCATACTAGAGGCTTGCTGTGCTTTTTGTCATTTCACAGGCTATTTGATATGTACAAAAGATTTCAAGGGCTAGGTCCAGGTATGAAAAGGAACTCAGGCTTGGGGACAGTTCAGCCTCAGATATTTCAGCTATTTGTAAGCTGAAAACTCAATTTCTCAGGGCTGTACTCTTCCTGGGGGGGTAGAGGGGGTAAGGAGTAGTAATCATAATCATTAATTGTAATAGTTAAATGAGAGGATTAAGGCCGGATGTGGTGGCACACACCTTTAATCCCAGCACTTGGGAGGCAGAGGCAGGCGGATCTTTGTGAGTTTGAGGACAGCCTGGTCTACACAGTGAGTTCTAGGACAGCTGGGGCTACAAGGAGACCGTCTCAAAAAGACCAAAAAATAAAAAATGAAAAAAAATAAAGATAGGAAGACAAGATAAATGAGATAGGGTAGAGTTTTTGAAACAGCTCTATCTGAACGCCATGGCCAAAAAAAAAAAAAGGCTAAATGAGAGATTAATTTAAGGCAGCTAACTCAGTGCTTAGAACCAGCAACTTTAGTAACAGTAATACTGAAGTATGCAATGCATTCTCATTTAATAATCAACTCTAATGACTTGATGTGTGTGTTTTTATTTCAGAGTTATACTTGAATCTTTTGTCTTTCAAAAAAAATGTAAAGGCACATAAAACCACAATTTACAAATACGTGTATAAATAGTGTACTTTGATTAGTTACCTGATGGCATTTGGAAAGTATGCTTATGTGCATAATATTATATTAGGCAGATGGACCTAATAATTTCTAAATATTTTTTTCTTACAGATGTATGCATCTCATGATTGATAGGAAGAAACAAGTCATGGGTCAAAGGTCAAGATACTTCTCTGGGAATTGTTGCTGCTGATCCTACTTTACAGAGTCATACAATGAATGTTTGGTTTAAGAAAGATTTTCGTATTTAAAAGATCTCCATCTTGGAAGTATATCGAGTGAAGATTGATTCTCCTGGGAAACATTTTCCTCATAATAAATTATACTTGTAATGGGCGACATGGCAAACAACTCAGTTGCATATAGTGGTGTGAAACACTCTTTGAAAGAAGCTAATCATGATGGAGACTTTGGAATTACGCTTGCAGAACTGCGGGCTCTCATGGAGCTCAGGTCCACAGATGCATTACGAAAAATACAGGAAAGCTATGGAGATGTCTATGGAATTTGCACCAAGTTGAAAACATCTCCCAATGAAGGTAAGTTTTATTGTGTTTATTTTTAGTCACTTGTGCAGACAGTGCTATTTATTTAGCTCAGAAATACACTTACGTTGTCTTGGCTATTGCAGTGAATATGCCATAATTTTGAAAATAAAAAGTTATCAGATTAGTACAGTTAGAGACTGTTAATTTACATGTTTTAGAATTGTGGGCCTTTTTGTGTACGTTAGTGTTGCCAGTTTATAACAAGATTATCTCTCCACTGGAGCTATAGAGATGGAACTGGGCTTGGTAGCCCCTAGGGGACTCAGTGGAAACAAACCTTCACCATCCTTCATTTTGCTAGTTGGCTTAAAATAGTTGTCACTTCCATTAGCTTCCAGAGTTGTTTTTAGCTCATGGGACTACTTTTAATAATCAGCAGATGAGGTCTGAAAGCAAAATTTGGAGGTTAAATAGCACTTGTTTTTCACTTACTGAACATCTATGTAGCTAAAATAGTTTTGATATTTGAATTATGTTGAATTTTCCTTTGCTTAAAGGAGGTTTTAGTTTCATGAATTTGTGCTTTTTTGTACTGGGATCTTCAAAATGATGAAAATGATGATCGTTTATAGGTTGATCATATTGAACATAAAATTTAGGGTCTAAGTTTCAAGAAGATACCTCCAAATTGCAGAGAAGAAAGTGGGCAACTAAATTAAATGCATAGTATTATGTGCTTAAAAGGAAAATTGGTGGAATGGGAAATCGGACGTACTGGAGGCACCTGTATTAGTGTAATGTCTGAAGGAACAACCAAAGACATGGGGTGTTCAGTTATTTCCATTTACTTTAGTAAGGCTGGGAAATATTTACTTTAAAATATTAATTTATATTAGTATTAGCATATATTCCAAAGTCAATTATAGAAAAATTATGTAAAACTTTTTCTTACCATTTTTCTTAAACACTTGCTTATGACTGTTAAATGCAACAGCAAAAGGTAATTTACAAAATTATGCATACCAAAAATTCTTTAAAACATTTTGTTTTCTGTGAACTGCTGATCATTTGTTGTGATAAAGACGTTCTTTGATTTCTTTGAGGTACTGTAGTGTTGAGGTGTTCGGTGTCACGGTTCACACATGCCCTAAAAGGACCTCTTCACACTGCTTGAGGTCTTCTTCTGCAAGACCTATTAATTCTTTAAGATTTTTTTTGTCCTTTTCAAGTCAGAACTGGTAACAGCACAGACTTCCTCTTATTCCTTAGTATTGTGATTGCATTTGAAGCTTTTTCATTGTGCAAATCTACTTTGAACTAACTTTTTGATGTGCTAGATTTATGTGTTACTATGCTGTTCTCAATTGATAGGTCTATTAATTCTCTTTACCTATATGTAGTTTCTACATTTCAACTAAAGCCTAACTGATGAATATTTCAAGATCACCAAATTAAAAGGAAATACTAGCATCAAAGAGCCTCAGTGTCACAACACATTTGTTTATAAAAGGCATGTTGAACGGCTAGGGATGTAGCCCAGTAATACAGCACTTGCCTGGCATACATATTGCTCTAGGTTCAAGTCCCAGCACTGCAAAAAAATGTCAACTTCAGTTTGAGGTATATGCTTAACTGTTCTCCCACCTGTATTTTTGGTTTTCCTTGCTATGAGTTACCAGTGTTTTTGTTTCCTAATAATGGAATACACTTCTGTTTTGAGCCAGATAAAATTTTTGTCTTTTTATTTTGACAGGGTCTCCCTAGTCTCAGCCCGCTTGGAAGTCACTATGTGAACCAGGCTGGCCTTGATCTCACAGAAGATCTGCCTGCCTCTGCCTCCCCAGGGCTGGAACAAAGGTCTCCAGCCAGTGTCCCTCTCATTTTTTGTAAACTTGATTTCTCACTGCCTTGTACTATAGTTTCTTTTATTATTTTGAGTAATGCTTTTTACATTGATTTTGGTTAAGTTAATGAAATTGATTGGAAATTTTGCTTCTAGTAAATTTGGAGAAGAGATTATTTACTCTTTTGACCTGTTAGAAGTTATGAAATAAGCGCAAGAGAACTGACTTAACACCTAGAATTTCATGTGGATTGTTAGTGCTTTGTGGTATTAAATGAAAGTATGAGTTATTTTCCCTCTACTATTTTTATGGAATTCTTGCTCATATTCTTCCTGATACTATGAATTTATAATGTTTACTAAAATTTGTATAAACTTTTGGCTTTACTGGTTATATGTAAAAAATTTGCCATTTTGAAATGTTCTTTTAACGAATGTGAAACAACCTATCATAAGCATCATATTATGTTTATAGTTGCTGAAATGACAGCAGACTTCATAGAAATAATTCCACAGGACTCTTCATGGTTTCTAATTTATTCGAAATATTTCACCCAAAAGGCTATTTATATTTCTCATGTCATTGATAAACTAGTCAAATGATAGTGAGTGAATCAGGATCAGGAATGAGCAGGAGTTTGTATATCTAAGGGAGTGATCTAGACAGCAAATAATCTTTTGTTGGAATAATCTGTTTATAGTTAGGTGAGAACCAAAAAGATTCTTCAGGGTGCACGGATTTTATTGGTAAAACTAATGCTTTTTACTTGTCCCTTTAGTCTGGATCATTCATTGACATCCTTTCATTAAACTAGGATGTTGATTATCATTTTATGTATTTTATGCTCCCTCTAAAAAGATTTCGTGTGTCACCTTCTGTCGCTATCAAAATACTTGAGATAATCAACTTTGAAAGGAGGAAAAGGTTTAACTCAGAGTTTTAAGAATTTATATCTAGTTACTTGGCCTGTTGTCTTTGGAGACTGTGTAAGGAGCAATAATTATTAGCAAGACTGCACAGCAGGCAGGGAAACTTATTCATACTTCTTGGTAGCTGGGGAGCAGAGAGAGACTGGTGCGGGCGTAGAAGAGCGCGCACACGCAAGCGAGCCAGGGTCTTAAGTAGCCTCTTCAAGGACATTCACTGGTGACCTGAGTCCCTTCTACTAAGTCACGTCCTGAAGTTTCCATCACTTCCCAGTAGTGGCACAGACTAGTGACCAACCCTTTAATACTTGGGCCTTTGGGAGACATTGAAGACCCAATCTGCGGCATCCTCCTTAGCATTCTGACCTTTAAAGGCATACCTCACCTATCAACAGTTGTGTTTCTTATTTCCTCGTTTGTTCTGCCAACTTACCACTAGTTTTTTCAAACTGTAGTCTTTGAACTTGTTCTAAAGAATACTGTAAGTGTACGTACTGACCGGGCATATTTTGAGCCAGATACAATTTTCGTCTTAAAATTTTCCTAGTCGTTCTAGAGCTGGAGCGATGGCTCAGAGGTTAAGAGCGCTGGCTGCTCTTGCAGAAGACCTGGGTTTGGTTCCCAGCACCCACATGGTGACTGACAACCGTCTGTAATTCCAGTTCCATGGGATCTGATGCTTTCTTTAGACCTCTGTGGGCATCATACGGCACAGGTGCACTTACATAATGCAAGCAATATACTCATACACATATAATATTTTTTTTAATTTCCTAATAGTTCTGATTAATCATCATTCCTAAAGGATTTGCAACTGTAAGTTCAGAATAAATGGAAGTTAAGATTTCAAACTTTGTATTTCTCTCTGTATCTTTTATAGCAAGGATATGTCTTATAGTCCTCAGAATTCAAGAATGAATTTTTATACCAAAATAACCTGTTTATAACATTTTAACTACATAACATTATTTTCAGTTTTTTTCTTTTATATCTTTTATTTTCCTATTTGGCTGTTATTCATACTCTAAATCATACATCTTGATCATTTAATTTTTATAATAACTTTGGGTATCCTTTCCATTTTAATGTGTCCCTAATCTGTTATTATATTTTATATTGACTGATAGAGTAGGCAATGTAATAGGAATACAGGAATGCAAGTTTCCAGATCCATTATAAACTAAGAAAAGTATAAGAATCAGTTCATAAAAATTAAAGGCAGATACTGAGTTGTGATGCAAGCTTTGTAATAGGAAAGGCTTCATGTACCATAAAGGGCAAGAAGTACAACACTAAGCTTTTGAAGTGGTGACTGTCAAAATTAGGTACAAGAGAGAGAAAAAGAAAAAACAAAGGAAGTAAAAGATGACAGGGAGAGAAAGAAAAGAGGTGAATGGTAGGAAGTGGGATAGGATCCACAGCCCAAGTCATTGCTTGCCTCATTTCCACGTCTCAGATGACAGTTTATATTTGCAGTCCCTAGGACTAAGGTCCTTGTACTTTGACCTTGTCTTTATGTTGTATGTATTTTAACTCAGAAAATCAGCCTGTTCTCCAGGGATAAATCAGTATTGACTTATAGGCTAGTAGAAGAATGCATTGATGCCCAGAGTTTGTACTTGGTTTTGCAGATTAGTGCTGGCATTCAGCAAGTATTTGCATGGCCAATGGTGTGCCAGCCATGTATGTTTTTATGCTCGTATAGTTACCATTGAGAAGTTTTTGTTGATGATCCTGCATGACCTTGTCCTGAAAATTTATTGCCACTGAAATAGAGAATCACACATTTATTTTAATGCCTACTCTGATCACTGGTTTTCAGTGTTTATAGATTTTTAATGATATTTTTAACACATCTAGTTCTCTAACTCTGTAGCATGTATATTATTTTTTAAAGTCCTGAAGTAGCATGACCTTGGTTTTCTGTCTTGCTTTTAAATTTAGTTTTTAGGTTACAGTGGATTTAATTCCTTTTCAAAATACCCTCTTCTTCCTTCCACATACTCTTAGGGTTTTCTTTCTTGATCACTTTTTTAAGCATCCTGTGCTTTCCCTTAAATGCTGTTTATCCTACTGTTCACTGGTGCACTCTGCTGGCTGTCATCCACTCCCATTCACTCCTAGGACTTTACATCACCTGGGTGCTAGTGATCCCCATGTTAGAAGTTCCAGTCCAGGATTTCCCCACAGCCCTGGGCCTGAAGCCCTGATTCCTCATTCCTTTTAGACATGTCCATTTTCTAAACCTCTCCAAACTCTTTTGTCCCAAATATGCCTCTCTTTGTCCTCTTCCAATGAAACTGTTGCCTATCTTGAAACCAGGTTAGAAACTTGAGTGGCCTTGACTTTGACATGGATTTTTTTTTTTTACTCCCTCTCATGTGATCAGTATGTCTCAAAGTCTTGACTCCAAACTTTTTCTTAACCAACTTCCTGTACCTTATTTAATCCACTTCCCTGTATCCTCACTATGATGTGGGAGAACATTGGCATTGTCTTATGGGGTGATGATGGGTGTGTCTTCCTTACACAGCTTGTCATCTTCCTGCTTCTAAAGCCAGCTGCAGCATTTCTGCATTGCCTTTGGAATGACACTTAGACTTCTCATTGAAGCCTACAACTCTCCACCAGATATGTCTTTTCTTTATCTTTCTAATTTCATATCTTTTTCCCCCATCTTTAGGCCTTAATGTTTGAAGCAGCAAATTTTTCCGTTTCTTAAAAATGTTTTATCATGCTAACTCTTACTTCTAGGCTTTTTACAGTCTCTACCTAAAACAATTTACTTCCACTAAATAGTATATAAAAGATAAAATTCACTGTTCTTTCAGAAAGATAGTTAATTAACTATCTTAAGATATTGAGTATCTCAGAATTCTCTTCCGTACTCTACCCCTATAAATTGGGTTCCATTCCTGAGTATCTCCTGCAGCTGTCCCCACCATTGCCATCGTAACACCTGCTGGATGTGTCTCAGTGGTTGCTTATTAATCATCACTACCAAGCTATGATTCCTTGAGGGCAGGTACCAAGGAAAGGCATCCTGCCTGTTTCCTCTCTTGTATGCTTTTCATAGTACCTAGTGCATGGTAAGCATTGGGGAATGAATTTTAAGTCTGACCTTAGACTGGTGGATCTAGACTTTGAGGGGAGCGGAGGGATCACCTGTTCAAAATATTGAGACTTCAGTGAAGTATACTTTTCCACATACTTTTTTAGTCTGCATGCTGCTTTCTCTTCTTGAAGGAAAGTCACCTTGGCAACCAAAACCCCATTCCCACCATCACATACATGTACTCAACACACACACAGTTTCACCTACAGAATTGGAGAAGTTTAATTGCGTGTGGTATGTATTCCTGATTTTCAGCTAAACCCACCTACTTTAGACATTCCAGTAAACCCATTCCCTTCTTTAAAGTTAGACCCAGCAACTGAGATGTCTTGCTTTCTTATAAAATGTCTTGATATAATTTGCATTTTACTCTTTCTGCTCACATATATAATATTTTGGAGCTATTATCTGTGATGAATATAGGCTGTTTTTACTTTCCATAGTGCTGGATGCAGACACAGAAAACATACAGTTTTAAAGCGGACTTTTTTTTTTTCATCCTCCAAGTTGTATTTTTTATTGAGTCTTTGCAATTTTCATACAACGTATTTTGATCATATCTTTAGATCCCTTCCACTATCCACACCTCCCCTTACTACCCTCCATCCAATTTAATGTTCTCATATATATATGTATATACATACACATACTTATAGAGTCTAATTTGTGTCCCCAAATGTCCTTCAATGTGAGTCCATCCACTGAAGCCAGGTTAACCCACCAAGAATCACACCCTTGAAAGAGACTGACTCTTCCCCCTCCCAGCAGCCATTGGTTGGCAATAGTTCCTCAGGTAGGGTTGGGGTTTCTTAACCACATCCCCACATCTATGCTGGGATTTTGTCTGGTTTGAGCTTACATGTGACTTGTCCATGCTTTCCCCATTATAAATCTGGTTTCTGATGAACCTTGGTTGTATTTCTCTTTGTGAAGCTAACTGTGTCATTAAGAGGTCAGTCCTTTACAAGCAAGCCCCTGGCCTCATTGCTACTGTACCACAACCAAGCTCATGGGCCCAGGCAGACATCTCATTATATTTACCGGTGTTACTTCTAAGTATTGTTACTGCTTTTGTAATTTTAAAACTGGTGGTTTCATCACTGGCTCCAAGGTTAGCTGTGTCTCTTCCCAGTAAACTGCTTTCTCCTTCCTTGGCAGCCTCATCCTGCCTCTTACATCAGGCTGACATCCTCACCCTAGATTCCTTCTCTTCTTGCCTCTTCACAGACTTTAATATTATTTATTCTCTCCTATATCGTTGCTGTCATCTTCTCATTTCCTTGATTGTATAACTTGCTTTCGTATCTAGTACCTGTCTTTGAAAACTACAAACTACCAATAATACCCACTTTAACTCACCTTTGCTAGTGTACTTCTCCCCACTACATCACATTTCTGAGGAAGGTAATTGATACTTATTTTTTCCACTTGCTCATTCCCATTGTCTGTTCAATACTTTCTAATCAGACTTTCTTCTGCATACCCTGCTGCTGGAAGTTTCTTATCAAGGTCATCATCTCTATCTAATGAAAGAAAGTGGGCCAGTCTCACCTTACCTCCTAGCACCATCTTAGTATGTGCTGAAGTCAGCAACGCCCTCTTTTAAAACCTTTTTTTCTTGAGGTTCCTGCAGGACTGCATGAACATGTTCCATTCTGTCCTGTGTTGTGTCACTGTGCCCCCTTCCCCCAACCTTTTTGTAACTTTTACTTTGTTCTCTTACTGTCTGCATATTCTAGCTTTCAGAAAGATCTCACTGACCCATGCCTCTGTATATTGCTAACTCCCTGTTCAGACTTTTCACAGAGTTCGGAATATGACTAGTAATCTGTTTACTAGACGTCTCTACTTGTTTGCTTAAGTCTACAAAACAGAACCATTAATTCTTCCCTCCCATTTCCACCAGCTCTGCAGTTTCCAAAGCCCGCCCTAGTAAATAAATAACTACCATTCACCCACTTAGGCACACACATTAGCTGTGATTTTCAGTTAAACCCACCTGCTTCAAACATTCCAGTAAACCGCCCCCACTCAAGTACTTGGGCCAGAATTTTTAAGAAGTCTAGATATCATTCTTCATTCTTTTGTTTCCCTTTCATCCCTCATCCAATCATTTCTCTCTCCTTGTCTGATCTCCTTCCAAGGTACCTGGCAGATCCAGTTATTCCCCTCTTCCTCCGCTTCTAAAACCGATTCAAGCACTTTTGTCTCTTACTTGGTACATACAACAGCCTCTCAGCTGGTCTCATCTCTCTGGAACTCCTCACACAGCAGCTTAAATACACTTTTTTTTTCTTTTTTAAAAAATTTTATTTATTATTTTTATTTTATGTGTATGCATGTATTGCCTGCATGTATGTGAGTGCACCCATGTTGTGCAATACTGCGGAGGTCAGAAGAGGGTGTCAGATTCCGTGGAACTGGAGTTATGGACAGTTGTTAGCTGCCATGTAGGCACTGGGATTCGAACCCAGGTCTTCTGCAGGAACAGGCAGTGTTCTTAATCGCTGAGCCATCTCTCCAGTCCCAAATACACTTTCTAAAATGCACATTAGTTACCACTTTCTTTAAAAACCTTGTGGTTTCCATCATACTTAATGTGAATATTAATCCTCCCTTCATAGCCCCTAGGATCTTGCCTCTGGCCCATTTTTTTCATTGACCATGTTTCTTTTGATCACTGGACTCCAGCCACAGTGGTTTGCTTTTCTGGCTTCTGAATCTTATAGCCTTTTTGGTCTCTGACCTTTCATTTGTGCTGCTGCAAATGCTTTGATCTTGTCTTCTCATGGTAGATTCCTCATTCAGACCCCACTAAGAGAATTCTAGTGGCCTTTAAAAAATTGTCTTCTGGGTTCTTACATGTATCTTTAAATCTTTTAATTTTCTCTTTGTAGTATCCACTTGTTGAATGTAGAACTGGCTCCCTGGGACATAGAATAGTGTCTAGAAGTAGTAGATAATCAATAAATGTCATATCTTGGGGAACACTGTTACAGAACTCTTAGCTTTCCTAGCCCATTTGCTCCACTCTTAAATTATCTACTAAAAGTACTTTCTTTAAGTAAAGCTCTATGCATGTTTTCCAGTGATTTAAATTCTGTACACTCAGTCACTCTAAAGCACAAAAATAAATCAGCTTGTGTGAATTATAATCTAAAGTGTAACAAACTAATATATGTTGAGTAAAATGTATATTTTCACTTAAGTAGCCAAACATCACTAAGATTTGTTTCTTTTTATTAGGTTTAAGTGGAAACCCTGCAGATTTAGAAAGAAGAGAAGCAGCCTTTGGAAAGAATTTTATACCTCCTAAGAAGCCAAAAACCTTTCTTCAATTAGTATGGGAAGCATTACAAGATGTCACTTTAATTATATTAGAAATTGCAGCCATAGTATCATTGGGCCTTTCTTTCTATCAACCTCCAGAAGGGGATAATGCACGTAAGTACATAGGAAAAAAAGGCTTTTCTGTGTGATGCTAGGTCAGCTTGTTTGTTTGTTTTAATATGTGATAATAATAGCCAGCAAAGATCCATTGACAGCCGTGTGATCAGGCATTTTTCTGCGCACTTCAAAATGCATTATTTCAAATGGTTGTCAATAACTCTGAGTTTCAGTGTTGCCTACATCATAATGGTGAGACCCAGTTTACTCTTCTACATGTGCATATTGTATGGATAGTTGTACATACAAGTTCTATACGTATATGACACGGTCTGTGAATCACAAGTTTTACATTTTTTAGCATACTCTTGTAAATTATCTGTAGTGTTTAAATTTTTATTTCTATTGCAGATATTATGAAGTCAAAATTCTATTCTGTTCCCAAATTGATTTCATTTTAATAATCTTAAGATGTTTTGTTTTGTACAGTATTGGGGTAATTTCTTCATTGTTACATAAATGTTTACACATAGGTTTAATATACCTTATCCTGAAATGCTTGGAGCCAGGATGTTGAATTACATGTCCTTTTGGACTATGGAATATTGGCAAAATTTGTATTCATAATGAGATTGTTGGGAAACAGACCTGTCTAAATACCAAATGTATTTCTGCACAGCACATAGTTTCCTGGTTGGAGTTTTCCCCTTGTAGCATCATGTCTGTGCTCAGATAGTTTCAGATATTTGAGTGCTTTGGATTTTTGAATTAAGGATATTTAGTCTGTAGGGAGCATCATGACTAGTGGAGAAATATGTTAAAGACTAGGTACATGTACTTTAACATGTAAATGGTTTGACTGTGCCCTACACTTCCTATGTTATCTACAGTTAAAACTGAGTTGGGGCTGGAGAGATTGCTTATCTGTTAAGAGTACTGGCTGCTCTTGCAAAGGACCTGGGTTCGATTCCCAGCATCTACATGGTGGCTAAAAACCATCCTAATTCCAGTTCCAGGGGATCCTGTGCCCTCTTCTGACCTCCACAGACACTGCACGACACGGGTGCACTTATATGCAGGCAAACACTCATATACTTAAAATAAAAAGAATAATAAAAAAGAAAGCTGAGTTAGCAAAATTTCTTAATTTTGTTTGGCATGAAAATATAGCCCATACCATCAATAAATCTGTAATCACTAGTATCTACGTGTCAGTGATTCTCAAACTTTTCGGTCACAGGGTGCCTTTATACTTGAGTTTTCAGGATTCCAAAGAGCTTTTGTTTCTGTGAATTAAGGTGTAGATATTTCCTGTATGCTGAATTAAAGTGGAGGAACTTCAAATATTAATTAACTTGATCATAGTAATCACATCACAGTGTATTTGTATCAAAATGTTACACAGGGACTAGGTCAATAAAGTGCTTGCTGCCCAAGCATGAGGACCTGAGTTTGGATCTCAAGCCTTCAAGTGAAAAGTCAGGTACACTCCCAGGATCCCAGCACTGGGAAGGTGGAGATAAGTGGGTCTTTCGAGCTCATTGGCCAGCCAGCCTAGCTGAATCAATGAGCTCCAGGTGCATTGAGAGACGCTATCTCAAAAATAAGATGGAGAGTGATTGAGGAAGACACCCAGTATTGACCTGGCTTACACATGTGCTTACACAAGGTATTATATTTACCTTGCAGTTTGAGGGACTTAAGTGGTCTTCCCCACATGCTGCATCTTTGAATGCTTTTGCTTTGTTGGAACAGTTATGCCACTTCTCATCTCTCCCTGGAATTCTCTTCCCTTAAGTTTATATGCTGGTCCCCTGTGAGCATTAAATTCTTTTCCCAAATGTCATGGATATCTCCTGGAGCAGCTTCCTTGGCTTATTCAACCTTAGTTAACATGTTGTCCTTTATTTTATAACATACCACCATGTTTTATTTTCTTTGTGGACTTACAGATACTTACAGGTACTTACCTGAATTCTCTGTGTGTCATCCTTACCTATCAATTTGTGTCTGGGGTCCATGCAGAGGAGGAGGAGCTTGTATGTCTTATTCACATCTGTATCTCCAGCTCCTAAAATAGTGTCTGCCACTCAGTACGTGCTCATATGATTGAATAAATCAGTAGCATTTCCTTTAACTTTTCATGTTATGAAAGCCAAGCCATGACCACAATGTGGAGTGCATGTAACACTTTACTTGTCTGCCATCTGCAATAAGAGCATTAGTTACTGGTTGAGTGTGAAGAATGTTCAGTGCTGCTTTGCAGGTGTTCTTGTGCTTCATGATGATCCAAGAGTAGGTGGTAGTAGCCTTACATAGTGGATGAAGCCAGGTGTCAATCATAAGTACAGGTATAGAGTGCTCTATTGCATTTTATTTTATTATATATCACAGTTACTGAGTTGAATTTTTTTCCACAAATTGAAAGTTAGTGGAAGAAAATAGCTATTTGCATCTTTTCAACTCACTTTGTCTCTGTGTCACACAGGTAGTTCTTGTAATATTTCAGACTCTGTTATATTTATAATGGGCATCTATCATCAGTGGTCTTTGTTGCTGTTGTAACTGTATTAGGATACCACAAGCTACACCTATAGAAGACTGCAGGTTTAACCAGAAAACGTTGAGTGTCATCTGACTACACCAATGGGCCATTCTCATATCTTTTTCTCTAATCAGGCTCCTGTATTGTCTAATACAGTAATATTAAAACTAGGCCAGTTAAGCATCCTATAATAGCCCCCAAGAGTTAACATGAAAGGAAAGAGTAGCACAACTTTAACTTGAAATCAAAACCTAGAAATGATTAAGCTTAACAAAGCAGGCACATCAAAGCCAAGACAGGCTTAAAGCTAGGTTTCTTTGTGCCACACAGCCAGGTTGTAAGTGCAAAGGAAAAGTTAAGTGAAACTAAGAAGTCTTAATTACTCCAGTGAGTACACATAATAACCAAGTGAAACAGCTTTAGTGCTGATCCAGAGAAAGTTTTAGTGGTCTGCATAGAAGATGAAACCAGCCACAGCATTCCTGTAAGCCAAAGTCTTAATTCACAGTGTGGCCCCAACTCTTCAATTCTGTGAAGGCTGAGAGAAGGAAGGGAGCTGCAGAAGAAAACATTGACACTACCTGAGATCTGGTCATGGGGTTTGAGGAGAGAGCCCTTCTCAATACATGTGAAGCTCCAGTGCTAGTGTAGAAGCTGAAGCACATTATCTAGAAGATATATCTGAGATAGTTGATGAAGGTGGCTGAACAGTTTTTATCAGAGTGGATAAAGCAGCCTTATATTGAAAGAAAATACCATCTAGGACTTGGATAGTTTGAAAGGAGAAATCCAAGGACAGGCTCATTCATATTAAGAATTCAGGTAGTTAAGCCAGTGCTCATTTTGCCATTCCCCAGAAATTAAATGGCAAATCTACTCTGCCTGTGCTCTATAAATGGAATAACAAAGCTTGGGTTTCAGTATATTGGCATAACATGGTTTACTTAAGTCTTTTAAGGCCACTGTTGAGACTTACTATTCAGATTATACTTTCTTTTTTTTTTTTTTTCAAAATATTACTTCTCATTGACAATGCACCTAATTCCCCAATGGCTCAAGTGAAGATGTACAGTGAAATTAACTCTTCACATCTGCTAACAAAAAATCCATTTTAGTCCATGGATCAAGGAAGTAATTTTGACCTTCAGATCTTGAAATACATTTCATAAGGATATTGGTACCATAGATAATTTGTTACAGGAAAAGTACATTGGAAACCTTATGCAAGAATTCACCAGTTTAGATTCCATTAAGAAATTCATGATTCCTGGAGGAAAGTATCAGTAGTAACAGGGGTATGGAAGAAGTTGATTCTACCTCTCATGGATGACTTCACTACTTCAGTAGAGGAAGTAACTAGATGTAGTGGAACTAGCATCCTGAAGATGTATCTGAGTTACTGCAGTCTCGTGGCAAAACTTGAATGATTGAGAAGTTGCTAATTACAGATGCACAAAGAAAATGGTATCTTGAGGTGAAATTCACTTCTAACAATATAGTGGACATCTTTGAGTTGACAGTAAAATGATTTAGAATATTATGAATACTTGTTTAATAAAGTAGCTATGAAGAATGAGAAGATTGATTTCAACTTGTAAAGAGATTATCTTGTAGGTAATATGCTACCAAATAGCATCAACTGCTACAGAGAACTCTTGCAAAAGGAAGAACCATCTGATTTGGCAAACTTCATCCTTGTCTCACTGAAGGAAGTTGCTACTTCTGCCTCTCCCTTCAGCACCCACTTCCCTGATCAGTCAGTGGCCATTAGCATCACAGCAACACTCCACCAGCATCAAAAACTTAGTACTTGCTGAGGACTTAGGTGATCAGTGACAGTTTTTAGTAATAAAATATTTTAATTATGTTGTGTGCATTTTTAGACTGAATGGTATTTCATACTTTATAGACTATAGTTGCAGACTTAACCAGTAGGCACTTGAAAACTGAAAGTTTGTGTGAGTTGGAATATTTGCTTTGCTGTGGCTGCCCAGAACGAAAGCCTAGGTGCCTCAAAAGTATGCCTGTAACTTGACTTCAGGCTGAAATGTCTCTTCCAGCATGCTTGCTCTTAGTTGACAAATAAGGTTCTTACCTTTGTGGAAGGACTGAGTTCAGTGTTGCTCCAGGCTCTGAATAAAATTGATGAAGTAAAAAATGAAAGTATGGTTTGAATGTTGTCATTTACTCAGTTTGTTAAATCAGCATTTTCTTTTTTTCTAGTTTGTGGAGAAGTTTCTGTTGGGGAAGAAGAAGGTGAAGGTGAGACTGGGTGGATTGAAGGAGCTGCCATCCTCTTGTCCGTGGTGTGTGTGGTATTAGTGACAGCTTTCAATGACTGGAGTAAGGAGAAGCAGTTCCGAGGTTTGCAAAGTCGAATTGAGCAGGAACAGAAGTTCACCGTCATCAGAGGTGGTCAGGTCATTCAGATACCTGTAGCTGACATTACTGTTGGTGATATTGCCCAAGTGAAATATGGTAAGCAAAGCAAAGCACACACCTAACTATTTAAGCTCTGCTAAGCTGGTTCACAATGTAGCATGTCTCTGCCTTCTGTTTCAGGTGATCTCCTTCCAGCTGATGGCATTCTGATTCAAGGCAATGACTTGAAAATTGATGAAAGTTCATTGACTGGTGAATCTGATCATGTTAAGAAGTCTTTAGATAAGGATCCCTTGCTTCTATCAGGTATGGATTTCTGAACGTTGAACTTTTTCTTCCCCACATGTATGGACTATTGCCATCATTTTTTTTCACTAAAAGTCCGAGTAAAGAGGAATTAACATTTTATGCTAGATTACCCTTATAATCTTTAAAGACTTATTTTTGTAAATTGGCAGATATTGAAGATCTTTGAGTCCAGAGCTATTTTACAAATGTGAGGATAGAATCCAAAAAGTGAAGAGATTTGAAAGTCACTATTAATATAAAAGTCAAATATAAGCCAAATGATATCCATTGAGCTATTTTTCTGTGTTATCAGGTTTGTTCCTAAGGCCTGTTGAAGTATATATTATAAGATGATTATAGATTTGAAGCAAATAGATGAATTCTATGATGATATACAAAAGTCAGGGTTTTGTTTTTTTTAAAAAAAAAAAAAAAACCTGTTGCTACCATAAAGTTTACCTCATCAACTACCTCACTGATCTGAATCGGTCTGAGATGTAAAAAGTTAAATGAGTAGTTGACAGTAGGAATAGGGGTAACATTCACATGTACTAGTCAGGAATGATTTGTGCACGTTTACATGTTCTAGGAATAGAGAGGAAGGCTTTGCATAGGTGAGGGTACTGCTGGCAAGGGAAAGGTGGGTGCCTATTTAGGAAGCACGTGTCAGAGCTTTGGTAATATGAACTAAGGTTATTTGGAAATGAAATTGAAAGGACTATGCCCCCCCAAAAAATTTACAAGCTGCCTTCCAAATCACTAAGTGAAGAGAAATCAGAAAGCTACAGATTATTTCCAAAGCATGCTGATTCTCTAAATTTGAATTTCTGAGACTACCCCTTAGTTTTATAGTTTTCTTTATAGCGTATGTGAAATTGTTGATCAGAACTGTATTTGTTACATGGTATTTTGTACTGGAGTTTGGGAAAAGCCGAATGTTGCCTGTTCATCCTCAGTTATTAGCAAATATTCATGGAATGCTGGTATTTTATAAATTGTCCAAAGATTCCTGCTGATGCAACTATTCAATAACTTAGAAACTATATTTTTCAGTGTTTGTGGGCTTTATTTCTTACTAATTGAGCATGATTTCATAGCAACCTCAAACTTACAGGGGTTAAGTTATAGTCAAAACTTCAGACTAGAACCTAAGAGTAACCATTACCTTTTTAAAATTTACAACTGTATGATGAAAAGGTTTGTTGCAAAAATATTTTAAGCAGTAATCGAGTAATTATGGACTCATTTATAAATAGGGTAGATTCAATTATAATGGGCATGTCTTGTCAAAAAATAATTTGAGATTTGTATGCTGTCAGTATCCTGGGCCACTTAAAATGTTCATCTTTTGTTTAAGTATTTGTATTGATGTGCTTCTAATTCATACCAAATGTGTGCTTATTTTACTTTTTTGCCATGTTTCTAAGAAAGTAAAATTAATGTTAACTAAATAAAACCCATAGTGCTTCCAAAGGGGAGAGAAGGTATCACAATCATAATCTTACCATTACGAACTCACTGGGCCATGTTATTTGGCAAATGGAGAAAGCCCTGTGTTGCCTTTTGCTATATATACTTTATGGACTTTTATGTACATCTAGTTTATTTACATAGTGCTTAGCTGTTCAGGTTGGTTTCCTTTAACTGAACTTTGGACCTTCTAACAGATGACTGGTAAGCTTTATGTAGACTTGGGTTTCTAACACACTAAGTATACCAACAAAACTATAAATTTTCCATGTTTAAGAAAAGACTGAAATAATTTTCTGTAGTCTCTTATCTCGGTGCGGGTGGGAAAGTTTTTCTGCATTTATTTCCCTATTCCAAAAATGTACTGAAAATATGATATGCATTTATTTTTAAATTCACTCTCATGATGCCATCTCTCAGTGCTGTTCTTTGCTTCTTAAATTTAGATTTTTTTAAAGCACTATTAAGTTAGTGGTAGGATATGACTTGAACAGATATTGTTTACTTTGCTTGAGCACAGCAACTGCTGACATTTAATCACTCTTGGAGTAAGGGAAACAGAATATAAATTTGAAGTTTATAGAAAGCCAGAATTATTAACAGAAATTGTCTTTTGTGTGTACTTAATAAATAATATCTTGAATTTCATTTTTTCCCTTGTATTTCCACCTGCAAAGAACCAGTAATTTGTAAAATATTCAGAATGTGGGCTTTTAAAAGCAAGAAAAAATGAAAGTCCTCCAAAGTGTCCATATTGGATAAGTTACCCAGTAATTAGTAGCCAAAATATGAATCCTTAGGTCTTGGTAAAGTACATAAACTTTATGATCTTATTTAGCAAATCACCTTTGAACATTGACTTGGTATGTAAGATGTGGTATTGATGCAGACTCCTGACCCCCAGAAGGTTGTGAAGTGAGAGATAAAATACAAATAAATGACAACTGTGAATGTGTAATCTAAAAAAGAAAAAGTTAAGTTTTTAAGACTGCTTATAATTCACAGAAAGAGTACAGTATGGAAACTCTTGAGATGTGTCTGTAAAAAGTTGGAGAATTGTAAGCAAATTTATTATAAATATCCTTTGTCTTCTGATAGAGCTGAATAGAACCTATGCCTTGTACTTATAGTTGTAGACAAGTTTGTAGAAAATAATAGTGTCTGCCAACTTGTAAGATTGCTGTGAGAGACATGGTCTGAATTCAGTGTTCCTACCTGTGCTCTCTAGCTTTCTGTGTTGGGGTTGAGTCATGGACAAAGACATTTATTTAGAAGTGTGATTAGTCAGAAATCATTGAGCCGTAAGAGTCTTATTAAATCACAAAGTAGAAATATTAAAACAGCTCAGAATAAACTAGGAAGGCAGAGAAATTATTAGGGAACTATTGCAGTAATCTAGGCTGAGATGGATGAAGGCTTAGAGGTTGTGGGGTTGGGTGTGGGATATGTGACATTCATGCTGTGGAATTCTTTGGTTATAAGCACATTTCTGTATAAATAGTATATTTCTCACAGAGCTATTTCCTCATACTTTATGTGTGATAGCTAATAATAATGGCTACACAGGATACCCACAATTTCTAATGTTAACACGTTATGTTTATAGGCTTGTTTGAGAAGTATAATTTTTTTCTTACTGAATTTTTGAGATTTTCATACAATATAGTTTGATGGTATTTAGATCCCTTTCCCTATCTGCACTTCCCTCTACTGTCCCTGACCAATTTAATGTACTCTCTAATACATATATGGCCTATAGTGTCTGATTAGTATTCCTAAATGTCCTTCAGTGTGAGTCCATTCACTGGGTCCGCCAAGAGTCCCATCCCTATAAGACACTGTCTCACTTCTTCCCAGTAGCCATCAATTGCCAAACGTTCCTTAGGCTGGATTGGGATTTCTGTTGTACTTTATGAAGTATGGGTACTGTAATCCCTGTTTCTCATAAGGAATTGAGATGTTCTAGTTTTCCCACTATCACATGGTGATTAAAATAAGCTTGAATTCACACATGACTGATTTCAATGAAAGCCTTAGCATAAGAATTTTAAAATTCATTTAATATCTTAACTCAGTTTGCTTTATGAAATGTTGAGTTTATTAAAGACAATATGAAGTTTGAAATTGGATGGTTGGAGGGTAATCTGTCAGAAATTTTACAGAGTTCTGCTGTTGTAGGTACTCATGTAATGGAAGGTTCTGGAAGAATGGTAGTTACAGCTGTAGGTGTGAATTCTCAAACTGGAATTATTTTTACCTTACTTGGAGCTGGAAGTGAAGAAGAAGAAAAAAAAGATGAGAAGAAAAAAGAAAAGAAAAGTAAGTCTAGTGACTTGCTGTAAGAATTGGTGTTTGGAATTATAGCAACTAGATCTTAAAAACTGGTAGAGAAATAGGCTTCTTTCCTGAGGCTCTGATAGGAAAATTTCTACAAAATGTTAGTTACTTAATAGACTTTCGAGTAACAGAATTAAAGGAGAGAAATACTTTGTTTTAGTAGTCCACTAAGGGCCGTCATCAGTATATCAGTCCCTGTAACCCTGGGTGGAGACGGATTCAGCATACACTTCAGTACTTTGCATTTGGGTTTTATTCTAATTTATTCTCTAGTTTAAGAATTTCCTGTCGTTTGAGCAGCAAAGTGAACTCTTACTTTGTATTTGCTTCTTTGTTTTTTGTTTGTTTGTTTGTTGAGACAAGGTCTCCCTGTAGCCCCAGCTGATCTAAAACTTACTATGTATGGTAGGCTGGCCTTGATTTCACAAATAAACATCTGCCTCTACTTCCTGAGAGCTAGGATTAAAGGCATGTACCACCACACTGGACTCCTTTTTTTTTTTTTTTTTTTTTTTTTTACTTCATAAGGCCAGGCGTGGTGGCACACACCTTTAATCCCAGCATTCAGGAGGCAGAGGCAAGTGGATCTCTATGAGTTCAAGACCAGCCTGTTCTATATAATGAATTCCAGGCCAGCTGCAGTTACAGGGAGACTCTCTCTCTCTCTCTCTCTCTCTCTCTCTCTCTCACACACACACAGTTTTCTTTGTCAGCTGTATTTGCATTATTCTCTCATTTAATCATTGAGTCTTTTTCAAGTTTTCTCTCTTCACATGTTCCATTCTATACCTGCACGGTTAGAGTTTTGAACACACTAGGCCTTTCCTTTTAGATTTCCCGTTTTCCTTATATTCAGCCCATTCTTATATATTAAGATCTTTTATTTTCACTATTTCTGCTATTCCTCTGAGTAACCTGATAGCATATAGTTTATCTACAAAGAACTTAGAAAACTGTCCTACACAGGGATACTTCTAGAATGTCTGGGTTGGGGCATGTCCCTTTTAGAAGGCCCTCCTGTACCGTTTCCTGGGTGCACCATCCTTTCACTTAAAGGCACCCCTTAAGAGTTTTTCCCTTTTGCCTTAACAACAGTTTACTATTGTGTAACCACTTGATTAGTTTAATTTTCTTTAAGACAGTAAGCCCATTTTTGCCTTCTCACATACACATTTTAAGATTTTCTGAAATAAATGCTTCCTGGAATTTTGGTTTACCGTAACTATAGCAGTGGTTTCTATTTTGTGTTGGAAATGGGTGGCTTATGATGGGTGTGGAACCCAAGGTCTGTGCTATACTACCGAGTAATACCTCAGATATACTGCAGACGTTCTTACTTGCTTAGACTGGTTTTAAGGCAGGGTTTTATACTCTGGTTCAGGATGGCTTGAATTCACAAGATGGCCCAGACTGACCTTGAAGCAGTCCTTCTGCCTCAAAGTACTGGTATTATAGGCATTACCTTTTCATATGAAATCCTTGTTTGTAGCAAAATGTATTTGAAAATTTCATTGGGTTAAAGGTGTAGCTCAGTGCTATAGTACTTACTGGCATTGACCTGGCCCTGAGTTCATTTCCTAACACTGAAAGAGAGAATGGTGAGCCCTGTGCTATAGATTTCTCTAATTCTCCAGGCAGCCCTTATGGGTCTTCACAGGTTCCTTGGAAGGTAGTAGTAATGATAGCAATGCTTTGCATGCTCCATCTCTTCCACCTTCATTCTCACTATTAAGAAATATGAACCAGGACTGGAGAGATGACTCAGCAGTTAAGGGCACTGACTGCTCTTGGAGAGGACCTGGGTTCGGTTCCCAGCACTCATATGGCAGTCTAACAACTGTCTCCCTAACTCCAGTTTCAGGAGATCCAACATCCTCTTCTGGCTTCCATGGGCATTGCACAGCATGGGTGCACTTACATACATGGAGGCAAAACACTCATACCCATAAAATTAAAATAATAAAACTTTAAAAAGAAAGAAATGTAAACCTCGTGGGGGTTGTTAACCTTGTTCGGGTCAGTGCAGTAGTAAGTGCCTGATCAAACCCTCTTCACCCTTCTCTGTCCTAATGTAAAGGAATTGAAAAGCATTGAATTCCATTTTTTAAAAAAGTTTCCATGACTTTACACTTACTGACCCCACTAAACCTTTTTTTAGAAGCACCGCCCCAAGTCTTACATAACTGTTTTTATTAATCCAGCATGGAGTAGCCTTAGGAATTAACATCTAATTCAGTGTCTACCCTTTTATTTTTCTGCATTTCATTTCGTGCTCTTCCTTTTATGTTCTCTGGCCTATTTGGGTAACTACTCAAACAGCCCCAGGTAATGTCTCCATTCCCTGACTCTTTTTGCTTGCTAGTCTGGAATGGTTTTCTGGTTTTCAAACTTGAGCTCATTGACAGTAGGTAGGTGTTCTCTTACTATCGCTTCATCTGTCCTGGGCTTCTGTTCTTTCCTCGCCACATTTGCTCCATGTTTCCAGGTAGAAGATGGTCTCCTTGATAGAGAAGTTGGAAGAAAGACTGAATGGTTCTCCCTGCTCCAAACACTAGACTCATCCCCTCCTTGATTATTGCTTCAGACATCTCATCTTTCTGTGTTCTTTGAATCAGTGAATTAGAAATTACTTTAACCGATAGGCATTGTAGTTATTAATGTGCTTGTTTCTACTACCTTGCCTCCCTGTCTTTAATAAACTCTTTGCATTCTCACTCCCACTAGCATTCTCCCGTATGCCTCTTGTCTCCCTACAGCATCTCCTCCCTCCCTCTTTATCCTGTGTTTTTCTGCTTTCTCGGGTTATGCTTGTATTTAGCTTGAAAATCTCTTGTGCCATATTTGGCCTCCCTTTAACTTATGGAAGAATGAAGTCTTAGGCAGAAATTAAACAAGCGGATCTGCCCTAAATTATTTTGGAGTATTACCCCATGGTTAGACCTGTGAAGTGATTGATTGACACAGCAGGTCCTTGCAAACCAGTGTTTTCTAATTTGTATACACAAACCCCATTGTGTAACAATTCTCTTATAGAAATGTGAACTACCTCTGCATAATTTAACATGACCGTATTCATTTCTTTTGGAAAGCTTTAATTCCCATTTTGTTCCTACAGATAAGAAACAAGATGGAGCTATTGAGAATCGCAACAAAGGTAAATTCAGGAAGATAAAAAGTACAGTTAGCTTGTTTTCATTATCTCCAAAAATAGATCTATTGTGTACTATATTTATCCAAAATTAGGATACATGTGACAGAGAACATCAACAGTGTTTTAACTTAAGACTATCCCCTCTTGCCAGTGCTGTAGTCATACTATCTCTATGACCTTAAGAGGAATTTAATTATGATTTCTGGTAGTAAGCTTATATAGATAACTTTCTACTTAGGCATTTCAAGTGTTCTAGCATACTTGAAATGTTATTGTATAGTTGGTAGCAAAAAATGCATAAGAAAGTGTATAGTTTAATTGCATTTAAAAGTCTGTAAGCATACACATCAATTATAATGTTCTACATTGTGATCATAAATTACATGAGAGGAATTTGTGGTCTTTGGATATTCTGATGCCTAATATATCATACAAGGAAAGAAATGGTTTAGTATTTAGTTCTTAGTTTAAAGACTGTGTATGCCTCATCCCTATCACTTAACATTCTCAAATCTGGAATCATTACATAAGCTAATATCACTATTGTCTTATTCACTCTCACATATATATGCAGCTGAATGTTTATAACGTTTCTACCCTTTTTCTATAACAAAATTTTTTTTAATGATTTGACAGGCTAATCATGATAAATGCCTTTAAAATGCAACAAAATTGTATTTTCTCTGAAATATAGCAAAAGCCCAGGATGGTGCAGCCATGGAAATGCAGCCTTTAAAGAGTGAAGAAGGTGGAGATGGTGATGAAAAAGACAAAAAGAAAGCAAATTTGCCAAAAAAGGAAAAATCTGTTTTACAAGGGAAACTTACAAAGCTGGCTGTTCAGATTGGCAAAGCGGGTATGGCAGGCGAAAGAGATTGGAGTTTGTTTTAAATGCATAGACTGCTTAAAAATTGTCTTTTGGCACAGTGAAGGCTGGAAGTTACTGTTTTGCAAGTGTAAAGAATGCTAAAATACATTTTTATTCTTATCCACAATGTAGCAAGCCCTTTGAGATACTGCAGGCACTCAAAATATCATCGAGGCCTAGGGACCATTACTGTCTTTCTGTCAGCTAGGTAAGAATTGGTCAGGACAGGTTAGAATTCACTAAATTTGCCAATTTAGATGGCCATGAAATCACCTCTAAATTTCTCTGAATTTCTACACTCAGTAAAGAGACTTGTAGGGAAGTTATTTAGGACAGATTATCCAGTTATAAAATGAAATTTCTTATTTCACATTTTGCTCATCCTTTTATTGGCTGTCTGTGAAAAAAAAATGTGATTTTTTTTTTTTTTAAGCATTATAGCTTAGTTCAACTGAAAATACTGATAATTGTGAAGTTGAGTTACTAAATAGTACCTTTATGGGAAAGTGCCTGTGAGACCTAGGATTCACTTCATTGGAAAACAAGGAGCACTCATGGATAAGAGAACATACCCCCAGATTCCCACCTTTTTGAAAGACCACTGGCTAAATCAGTATTCATTATGAGAACCACATAGACTGCATCCTTATACTGCTGCTAGGAGGATGGTGAGAGCACTACAGTCTGCTTCTGTCCTTAGCCAGCTTATTCTCTAATATCAGATGTATATAATGTATTAATTACTAAATCATAACACCAACTCACTAGCAGAGGAAATGGTGAGCTTCAGGTGGTAATGGAATTTAGTAGCTGTTGGGCTGGACTACTAGACCCAGATCTGTGGACTTGCTTTATTTTTAAGTACTTATTTAATAATACAGAAGAGTAAATGTTTTGTAATCTGTAGTTAGCATTTATTTTTCTGGGTCAGTGAATCAGTAAAGATAATCAAGAAATAGTTCAGATAGTTAACATCAGATAGTACATTTGTGTGTACATTATATTTGTTTTTAACAGTTTAATTTCAGGATTCTAAATTGATCAGCCGAGTTGCCTATTGAACCTGTACAGCACCGGCTTATACTAGGCTATTGGTATTTCCTTGTCTTTGCCTATAATTTTACCTCAGCCTTTATAGTCAGCAGAAAATATAATCATCCAAAACTTATGAAAGCTTCTGCCTCAGTTCTCCAGGGTCAGGGTGGCAGTGGGTGCTGTCTACAATATTTAAACAGTGCTTTTTTTCCTCTCCCCCCCATCTTTAAAGGACTATTGATGTCTGCCATCACAGTTATCATTCTAGTATTATATTTTGTAATCGATACCTTCTGGGTTCAGAAGAGACCATGGCTTGCTGAGTGCACACCAATTTATATACAATATTTTGTGAAATTCTTCATTATTGGAGTTACAGTTTTAGTGGTTGCGGTGCCGGAAGGTCTTCCACTTGCAGTCACAATCTCACTGGCTTATTCAGTCAAGGTTAGTAGAAAATAGTTAAGTACACAATGTCATGTTTAAAGCCTTAGCTGGTTTAGAAAATGCATGCCCAGTTATTTCTTTACTACTTTGGAAAGTAGAGGGTTTTCATTTCCTTAAAAATGCCAGCAGTGCCTTCAGTGACTCTGCACAGAGGCCTGTTCACTCCACAAAGAGCAGCCTTCTCATCACCTCTCTCCCATCCCAAGTTAAGGTCAGGGTGTGTTCAGTTTATCCATAGCACAGGAGCACAGACAGTCTGCTTGGGCCTCATCTTCTCCGGCCTCCTGTTTTTATTTTTCCAATCTTAAAACTGTTTACTTGTGTTTAAAACCCTGGCTCCTTCCTGTGACCTGTAAGGTCCTGCCCAGTCTGACCCTTGCTCACTCATCTCAGTGCTCATCTGGCCTGCTCTCCCTCTGGCCTAGCCTCCTCAGCCTTTCCTGCTGGTTTTCAGACATCTCAATTATGATTTTTCTTGCAAAATGGTTTTGCAAGTTAAAAAATTAAACATACATAGTAGCAGAAGAATGCTATTCTTGTAAATTGTGAAAAGTTAGCAGTTTTCCTTAAATAGCATTGCTGACAGTGAGAACTATGATCAGTCATAGCTTTTGTACTAACATTCATGTCTTCAGTATTCCAAACTATTTTACAGTTGAACAATCATAAGAATGTCTTTTGTGTAGTGTCTAAATTTTTAAATTATGTGTATGTAATTATTGTGTGTGCCATATGCACTCATGTCATACTGAGTGCGTGTGGAGGTCAGAGGACAACTTGCAGGAGTCGTTTGGTTCTCTCCTTCCACCATGCAGGACCCAGGGATCGAACACAGGTCATCCAGCTTGGTGGCAAGCAACTTTAGTTTGTGAGTCACCTTGTCAGCCTGCACTGAGGAAATTTATTTTCTTTTCTCAAAGCTTTTATATAAAATATAATCTATCAAAAAGCTGATAAGTCAGTTTAACCATCTATTTGTCCTTCTTTAATATTTTGAAATAAGGGTTTTGACACACTGATCATTCAAGTTAATTCATTGTGCATAGTCATTAATCATGTTAATTTTCAATTGATCAGAAAGGTATAGGCAGACTGATTTATATTCCTTCACTAGAAAAACTGAGATTTTTAACTAAAATCCTTTAAGCTTTTGATAAATGTTTATTTAGCTCTAATGTTAACAACCATTGTTCTTTTCACTGTGGTGTAGTTTTTATAGATCCTGTTAATGTATTCCAAAATTGAACCTGTTTTTTTCCATTGCAAACTTCATTCTTTAATTTTTCAGTATTCAGATCATAATCAATCTGGGGAGTACACACTTCTCTTTACCATGTTTGTTTATTCAAAGAACTTGTTTTCTACAGTTTCTTGTGAATTAGTATTGGGGGTGTACTTTGGAAAGGAATTCTATGCAATTTTTTACTCATTTATATATGTTACATATGATTTTAATTTAAATGCCTTTTGTAACTATTGAAACCTCTTGGTTTCTTAGAAATCATCTTTTTTAGTTAGATGAAAGTAGAGAGAACATTTTGATCCTGAGAATGAAAATTTCTATCATCTAGATTAGATGAAAATGACCCAGTCATGGTTTTGTTACATTAACTCAACCTGTAAAGAAAGAGCACAGGAGGAAGCAACCCTAACCACATACTCAGAAATTTACGTTGTCTGATTAAAGCTACTTTTTTGTTGGAATTGATATGCAGATCTTTTCTTTTCTGCTTAATGAGATTTATTCCTTTACATTACTATAAATACGACTGTATTGTGGTAAGATTTTCATAGTAAGAGGACATTTCACTAAGCCATCAGAGGCATGTAGTTAACTATATAGATAGTGAGGTCTGTGTTCATTTATTAAATTATGTAATGCAGCAGTAAAATGGTTGAAACCATAAAAAGCTAGTAGTGGTCTCTTTAGCTTATTTCAATAGGCTAAGTGTTCTAAAATTCTTCCAGTATTAAGTTGGTGCTTTTTAAACTATTTATATTAATTGATTTTGACATTGTAATGTAATGAGATGATTGAGTTTCTGTTGTAGCTTCACTCTGGGATTTTTGTTTGTTTTCATCACTGTAGAAAATGATGAAAGATAATAACTTGGTAAGGCATCTGGATGCTTGTGAGACCATGGGAAATGCTACAGCTATTTGTTCAGATAAAACAGGAACATTGACAATGAACAGAATGACAGTTGTTCAAGCTTACATAAATGAAAAACATTATAAAAAGGTTCCTGAACCAGAAGCTATTCCACCAAATATTTTGTCCTATCTAGTAACAGGAATTTCTGTGAACTGTGCTTATACATCAAAAATATTGGTAAGATTTCCTTAATTTTACATACATGAAAATTAGTGTATATAATGCATTAATGTAAAGTCTGTTTGTTTATATTTGCTATTATGTGTAACAGGAGGCACATGCCATGGCACACATGCAGAAGTCAGAAGATAACTTTATGGAGGTAGTTCTCTCCTTCCACCTTTACATGGGTCCAAGGATCAAACTCGGGTCACTAGGCTTACTCGACAAGCACCTTCACCCCTTGAGCCATCTTGCCAGCCCCTCTTTGTTATCACTTATTTCTGTTTGCAGTGATGGGTATAGAACACAGGGTCTCATGCATACTAGATCAGTGTTCTATTCCCATAGAATAATTGTAAATTATTGTTACTAAACTCATTTTGTGAGTTCTGTGTTAGAACATCCAGTCCCAGTTTTCTAGAGAAATATTTGAAGCTGATGTCAATAACATATTTTATATATGCTTGTTATAAGTTTAGTCATCTTTATACCCCCTTCTCCATTGGCACCCTCACATAGTCCCCGACCACACTGGAATACATACATTCTGTCATTTGTGTTAAAGCCCATTGTGTCAAGTTATTGTCCCTCAGTGCAGGTTCATCCACTGGGATCTTTGCAGCCTATCTAAAGTCCCTCCCTTTAAGAAGATCTGCTCTTTCTCACTCAGCAGTAATTGGCTGCCAGTAATTCTTCGACCAAGATTGGAGCTTGTTGTCCATTTCCAAGGTTCTGTGCTGGGGTTTTGTCTGCTTGAGTTTGCATAGCTCTTGTGCATACTGATACCATTGCTGTAGGTTCATGTGAGCAAGGTCCCATGAGCTTGTAGGACTCTTCATTTCCTTATGGTTGTATACCTCTTCCCTGGCTCTTAAATCTTACCACATCCTCATCCCCAATGGTCCCTGAGCCCTAGGTTGGAGTTTTAATATAAGGTCATAACATTTATGTTATATTAAGAGTCTTTACCTTTCAGTGGTTTATGAAATCCATGAATAAAAAAAATATTTCAGGTTCTTTACTGAAAGCATAGGTAGTAAATGGGTGAAACAGAAAGTTAAGGGATTCTGATTCTGGAGCTAATCTTGCCATTTTACTAGCTTGAAGTCTGAGCTTTTGGGGAATTAAAAATAAGGTCACATCTGTCCTTAATACTAATGTGATGATGTTATAAGGAAGTGTTTGTAACAGTACCATGAAGACAATAAATTTCTTCATACATTTAAGACAACAATGCTGTAAGTTGTAAAAATTGATTTTAATTTGAATTACCCCCATTCACCCAAAACAGGAAGAGGAAAAAAATGGAGTTAAAATTACTCTTTTTTTCAATGTATGAAGAATCAACTATAAAATTCATACATCTTAATTTTAGGGCTATGAGTACTCCTGCTTATAGCTACTGAAGCCAAGGATCATAGTAGTAGAGAACCTTGCCAAAAGCTCACTTGATTAGTAACTGACCAGCTGAGCCCAAACCCATGCCACACTTGCCTCAGGCTGCTTTCTGCCATAGCCTCTGTGTTCTTTAAATTCTCATATTGGTTGACGTTTTCTACATCAGTTTGTTTGCAGAATGTTGTGTTCTGGTTTACATTATAAATTAATATTTTTTTCATAAGGAAACAAGGTAATTCTTGCTTCTAACCTTTATTCTTTTACAGCCACCAGAGAAAGAGGGTGGATTACCTCGTCATGTTGGTAATAAAACTGAATGTGCCTTGTTGGGATTTCTTTTGGATTTAAAACGAGATTATCAGGATGTTAGAAATGAAATACCTGAGGAAGCACTGTACAAAGTCTATACCTTCAATTCTGTTAGAAAATCCATGAGTACTGTCCTGAAAAATTCAGATGGAAGTTACCGGATCTTCAGCAAGGGTGCATCTGAGATAATTCTGAAAAAGTAAGAGTGAAGTGCTTAAATGAACAAGCTGCTGGGCTATTGCTGTGTGGAATACCTCCTGTGTGGTTTTGTTCTTTTCCTTTGTGAACCTCATGCATTTGATAGCACTGCAGAGCTTGTAGCATATTTTCTGGTATCCAGAGATTTGCCCATTGTGTTCTGCCTCTTTCACACTTAAGCTTCTTATTTCTTAGCATTTTGTTGTAGGAGGAGAATAAGCTCATGTATTCAGTTTCATAGTTTCAATAAAGTAAACTTCAGTGTTTTGGTTTTTTAAATGTATGTAGATTCCATTATTTTTGAGAATCTTGAAAAATCACATTTATAGCAAAGTTTATACATATGCTGCTACAATGTCATTTAAGTATCTCCTACCATTTTATATAGTAATCCTTGTTTCTTACTGTCCTTTCATAGTCCCATAATTTCAGCGTTGACATTCCATGTATTCATATAATTCCCCGATTATTTATGTTATTAGAGATGTTAAGATTATTTTAATTTCTGCTGTGCGTGGTGTTGCATGCCTTTAATCCCAGCACTTGGGAGACAAAGGCAGGAAGATCTTTGGGAGTTCTAGGCTAGCCTGGTCTACATAATAAGTTCCAGGTCAGCTGGGGAGACCCTGTCTCAAAAAGACCAAAAAAATAAAAATATTTTAATTTCTTTTATTCTAATAGAGAAATAGAACTATCAAAATAAGAGCAGTTTTGGAAAATTGAAGTTAAAAGTAAAACATTTAAAATACTTTTAATTTGCTTATATGTGGTTTGTAATTTAGTGTTATTTTAATGAACACTTGACATGTTGCAGTTTGAACAATTTTAAGAGATAAATACATGAATAAATAACTTTTAAAGCAGCTTATTGTAAAGGGATACAAGTTTGTTTGTTTGTTTGTTTGTTTGTTTGTTTGTTTGTTTTTGGTAAAGGGTCTCAGTATCACAGGCTAGCCTAGAACTCTGTGTAGCTGAGGGGGGTCTTGAACCTCTAATTCTGCCTCCACCTCTGTAGTGCTGGGATTATAGGCATTTGCCACCATACCTGGTTTATGCAGTGCCAGGGATCTAACCCAAGACCTTATGTATGCTGGGCAAGCATTTCATCAACTGAGCTACATATCCAGAGGGATACAAGTGTTTTAAGATGAGAGATGTAGCATTTAAAATGGGATTTGTTATAAAGTGAGGACCTCAAGGTGAAGGAAGCCACAGCAAAGGAAAGGGGATAGACACAGTATACAGTTGTATTGGTGAGTATCTACTTTTGTAATTCATCAGTAAATGAGGTGGTTTTGTGGCACGCAGGCCACACACAGCTTTCTTCCCCCTACAGAACACTTGGTTGTGTGATTTCAGTATGAGGGGTTAGAAACCTGTCATATCCCTAGCTTACTTGATAGCAGGTAAATGGCAAAGGAGAAATTTTTGAATCAAAATCACTCAGGCTCTAACTCTTTACCCAGCAACTAATTAGTTGATCTGGGGTAGATTTTTTTTCCCCTTTCCATCTTCCTAAATCAGAAAAGGGAATGGTAAACAGCAGCTCTGAGACTGAAGTAATGTGTATAGATTTCTTCCATTGAGGTTCGCAGGTAATAAGTATCTAGTAACTCACTGTGATACTTACATTTTGCTCTATAGGATTAAATGTTAGACTAAGAGGTAAGAGTGAAATAAATCAGGTAACACAACTAAAGCTTTTTTCATCAAGCAGTGAGATCACCAAAGTTCTGTGACCAAAAGCTGGACATGGTAGTGCATGTGTATAATCCTAGCATTTGGGAGACAGAAGAGTCAGAAGTTAGAGACCAGCTTGTGCCACATAGTGAATGAAGTCTAGTCACGAAGAAAAAGGAAAAGAAATAAAGCTATGACTGAAAGTAATTCTTGAATCAGGAAATAAGGTGGGTTGGAGAGAAAGAATTGACTAGTCCCAGAGACCAGTGAAAAGGCTGTTACAGTTGCAGTAGCTCTAGCTGAAAGGGAAGAGCCAATGAAAGATGGTAGTGTGGAATACGGAGCAGTGGACATACTGAAGAGACTGTTCAGAGGAAGGAAATACAGTGCTTGGGAGATATTATTCCCTAGAGAATGGAGAAGCAAGTATCGAGGTGAAACTTTAGACTTATCAAAGTTTGGGGTAATATTGATGCCCACATCAATGCCCACAGCATGGGCATTGAGGAGGCAGCACCCATTCTTTTCCATATTAAGACTAAAACATCTGGGTGGGACACAGCAGTGATGGGAAGCTTTAGAAAGCAATCAGAACAGAAGATGTGGGTTTAACAAGCACCTCCAAAAAAACAGGAGGAGCTGGCATTACCAGAGAGCAGTGTGGAAAAATAGGACATCATTACATATTGGAAAAAAGCTTGGAGTTAGAGTCACTAAAATTTAAACTATTTGACATAGTCTTTGATAGAATGCTTATTTTAACAAAAAAAGATCAGTTTTTTTCTTTTATGGATATAGGAGAAATAACCTGTCAAGTAAGGGGTTCGTTGAACTTGCCCTTTTTCTTTAAAAAGAGTAAATATTTTCAGTGTGACCTTTCAGGATTCCTTGTGAAAAAGTTGCAAAAACATTTCCAAAGGAGACTTACAGACTATCATAAGTGATTGAGCACTTGCAAACGAGAACTATACGGAATAGAACTGTGTGTTAGGGAAATAAATATGACTTCGGTCCATAAAAATGTAGCATGTGTAATTCCCTGAATTCCGCATGTCAGACCCATGATTCCTCTCTTGCCCTTCCAGTTTGCTTAAATGGCATTAACCATTATTTTTAGTTACTGATATTTGGATTCAACATTTCCTTTCAGGTGTTTCAAAATCTTGAGTGCTAATGGTGAGGCAAAAGTATTCAGACCGAGGGACCGTGATGATATTGTAAAAACTGTGATTGAACCAATGGCATCAGAGGGCCTGAGAACCATATGTCTTGCATTCAGAGATTTCCCAGCGGGAGAACCAGAACCAGAATGGGATAATGAGAATGATATTGTCACCGGCCTTACATGCATTGCTGTTGTGGGCATTGAAGATCCTGTGAGACCTGAGGTTGTGAAACGTTCTGTTCTGCATGTGCAGAATCTTTTGCTATAGAGGATCTAGGTGTTAACTATAACCGGTCTTCCTGTAAAATTCCTGGTGTTTGTGATTTTTATTCTCTGTGAACCCAAGTGAATGAGATAACAGTTCTTGTAATACATGATACCCATTAGGCTGCTCAGTTAGACAGCTGCTCTGGTATCCTATGTGTCTGTAGCACCATAACCTGGCACAGTGCCTTGAACTGTATAAGTTTTTCAATTGAAATTAATTATAAATGCCATTGAGTGATTTGGTTTCAGTCTCCAGACCCGCATTGCCCAGTAGAACTTTCCGTGAAGGTAAAATCGCTCTGTGTGTTGCTCAGTATAGTAGCCTCTAGCCACGTATAGACACCAAGTTCTTGAGGTGTGACCAGAAACACTGGCAAGCAGAATTTTTAAGCTTATGTAAATGTAAACATCTGGCTCATGGCTACCACATCAGATAGCAGAGCACCCTAGATTTTGCTCTCTTTTTTCTTTATTTTTATTTGCTTTTTGTTTTTTATGTTTATGGAGCAACCGCTGTGTACAAGCCACTATTCTAGGTACCAGAGACACCAAGAGTTTGGAGATCTGGCCCCTGGCTTCAAAGAAATCATTGCCTTGGGTGACAGTGAATAAACGCAGTATGAGCTAGGATGTTAGTATATTGCTGGTTATATACACAGCATGTTATATAAGCAAAGACCATGAGGGCTCAGCCTAGTCTAAAGCAATAGCACCTTTTTATGAAGTTCTTTGTGCCAGATAGTATGCCAAGTGCTTTGCATGTATTATTTCATTTAGTGTTCACCTCATAATGTATGTTAATCACTCTGATTTGACAGATTAAAAAAATTGAGAGGTGTGTGTGGTACGTTAGACAATAGATCTAGTGTATTCAAATCCCAAAAGACCAGTAAGCTATAGTCCACCACTAAAGGGATCAAGTAAAACTTCCTTAAGGTTAATTACTTATCTTGAGTCTTAAAAGCTCAGGAGTTACAAGCTAAACTGGGAGGGTTATGGGGATGACTACAACCCTGTGAGAGCACAGTAAGTACATCTAAGAGAAGTCACAGCACTGCTTTTGTTCAATGGCTATATCAAGTAATTGATTCAACCCTTAATGTATAGTGCTAGGCAACAGTCTGGGAACTAGAAATAGCATAGTGATCAAAGAGTGACAGAATTTCTGTTGTGGAAGAAGACACCCAAATAGGTAGAAGAATAGTTATGTGATACATCACTGAGAAAAAAGGTGAGGAATATGACTCATCCCTGATCTCAAAGCCCTTACATTTTGAATGGGAGTCAGAAGGGAAGGGTATGAGGGTGGGAATGGAAATGTGACATGAAATAGGGTGCCTACACTTGTACATGAGAGCTGTAAAAGATAGATACAGGGTAATGAAATAAGGTAATCGAGGGAGACCACATAAGAATTTGAGCTGAAATGTGGTGGCTTACCTTGAGGCAGGCATATAAAAAGCCTGGAGAACATTCCAGGCAAATATCAGAAAGTGTAGGGAACTACAGGTAAGAAAAAGTATTGAGCTGTTTTAAAGATAGAAATGAGGCCACTATGAATACATATGCAAAGAAGTGGGAGTTAAGATTCTCTGTGGCCTTAATAGACTGTATGGCCTCTGAATTTTCTAAAATTGAGGTAGGGTAGTATTATTATGTGTCGAAAGAGCATTTTGAGTACTGTATCAGAGGACTAGAGAGAAAGAGAAGCAGAAAAACCAGTAGGATGATGCACCAGCCTCCAGCAGTACATGTTCATGACTCTTCTGCAGTTACGGCAGGAAAGATAAAAAGAAAGAAACTTCAAAGGTAGCCTAATAGGAATGAATGTGTTGGGTTTGATGTGCTGGTTTTTGACCCTTTTCTGATGTATGAGACATCCTGTGTGTCTCAAGTGGGCATTTGGACCTAGAAACTACAAGAAAGTCTGGGTTGGAAGAATCATTTATGAAACAGAAAAAGACTTCCTGGGGAAAGTGAGTAGCCAGGGAAACAGGTATAGATTGAGAACCAATTAGAAGCCTTACAAAGGAAATTGAACCCGTCTCTAACCTGTATAACTTGATGGGTGGTAGAGGATATTGCCAGTGTCATAAGAGTCAAGTGAAACTGTTTAGAGCTGAAGATACATTCAGTTTTTGGTTTTGGAGTACTGAGTCAGAATATATGCAACTTTGTCTATTGGAAAACCTTTAAGTCTTTATGTGGCCATTCTGTTCTTGGCATTTTGGTGATAGAAAGTTTTATTTTTCTTTAAAACATATTAATGGGACTTCCTTCACAAAATAAGACGGATGTTTTAACACTAAAATGAGACAGTGGACTATAAACCAGCTTCTTTGGATTTTCTAGCCTTTGCAGTTCTGGTATAGAAATCTTGATTAATTGATTATATACAACAAATACAGTTTTATTACACATGCCTAGGTACTTGAACAAGATATGTAGCCTTACTGTAGTTCCTTACATGTGAAAATGGGGGTAGTTTGTGAATTACAAGTTAGAAGTAGTTCATGGTTAATAGGTAGTGAATACTAGTTTATCATTATTCATCAGCTTACTTAAAATATTTATCATACAGTTCTCCCACTTAAAGTATATAGGCTATAAATACTAGTTTTATCATTATAGTCAGTATATACTAGTTTATTATTATTCATCAGCTTATTTAAGATTTAATTCCCATATCATCCAATTCTCCCATTTGAAGTGTGTAGTCTAATGGTTCTGCTGTATTCACTAAGAGCTGTGCAGCAATCACTGTCATCAATCTGTGAACATTTTCATCACCTAAGAAAGAGGCTTCATAGCCACTGTTACCCATTTCTCATTTCTCTCTGGCCCCTGCATCCTCCAGGCAGTCTTCTGTCTCTATATTTACCTGTCTGGAACTGTAGAAAAGTATATTCTTCTTAACTCTTTATAATTAAATATTCATTGACCCACAAATAAATATTCATTGTCGTCGTGTCCTCTACTCCTAAACTATGGTAACCAATGTTACCTGCCCTTCCTAAATACTGTTTGACACATAATTTTAAGCCAAACCCAGTTGTTCCTCCTTACTGTTGTTTCCCTATCTAAATGATTCTAGATTGCTATCCAGTACGTGACTGTAGATATTTAAGGTAAAATGCATCTTAAACTTGCATGAGATAATATTACATTTAAACAACTTACCAATGTTTTCAAAATCAAATCTTCGTTAAAAAAGAATCCAAGCAGTCTCAGTCCTTGAACACATAATCCCATCCCTTAAACCATGCCTAGGATTCAGTGAACATTATTAGTTTCAGTGAATCTAGGTGAGGTCTTCCTCCAGTGGTTCAGATAACTGTTGACAGGTAGAGGGAAATATTTTAATACAAATATTTAAGCTTTGATATATATTTGTTAATAATAAAATTGCTTGTGTGTTTTAAGACATTGTATCATGATACGCTGTCTAGAATTATGCCACCCTTGGAAAATGTGCCTGTGGTGACTGTTTCTCCAAAAACATTTAATTCAATAGTGCAATAAATCCTAAGCTCTGGTTATATACCAGGTACTTTAAAGTAGTTAATAAGTGAAAGAAATGATAGTAGGCAGTGGTAATGCAGAGATAGGGTGATACAGGTCCTTTCTACCTTTGAGAAACTGATTAACATGCAGATAACTTGAGTAAACAAATACCCTGTAATATAATGAAATGGCCTGTAATAGAGGTGTTTCATAAAAAGATGCAGACCCAATTTGTCTAGATAGGTAGGTAATCTGATGAAGCGCCAGAGAACTTACATATAAACTGAATTTGGAATAGAAATCACAGGCAGCCTGCAGGACTAATTTGGCATTCCATTATCTGTGTGTATGTATGTAAAATATTGGGTATTGAGAGATGACACACAAACAAGATTTTTCTCCTTTTTATTTTATATTTTGTGTTAATATTGGACTCCCATTCCACCGTGACAGAAACAGATGCCAGCTGAGCAACGCTTTCACTAAGCATTTTTCTTGGGTTTGTCGTTTTCAGGACATTTTACTCGTTGTTATCTGCATGGCCCTGTAGCCATTTGAATTTGCCACCTCTTCTCCAGTAGGATCACAGTGGATTTCCTAGCTAGGAACTGGAGAGGATTTTCTAAGCAGAGTCAACTGTAGTAGCAAAAGCACATCAGTATATAGGCTAAAGCAGCTGGTATAGTAAAGTTTCAGATAAATCTAGAAAACTGTTCTGAAGCCAAACGTGGTACTTTGCTGTACTGAGATCTTTGTGCTTTATGTGTAACAGCTGAGGAATCAGTCTATTTTTAACAAAGTATATTGCTTTGTTTAAAAAAAAAAAAAAGAACACCATAAAGTGTATCGGATGTTTTAAAGAAGGAGTGACATGAAGATAGGGATAACAGAGTCATTCTGATAAGCTTTGGGACTGGGACCTGCTCAGGAAAGATTTGAGATAGAAAGTGTTGGTTCTTATGGAAGCATGAGAGGAGGAAAATGGAAGGAGGTAGAGTTGACTCATAGGTTTCTGATAATAAAGTTTAAAAAGCATAATCGTGGTGGCGCACGCCTTTAGTCCCAGCACTTGGGAGGCAGAGGCAGGCGGATCTCTGTGAGCTCAAGGCCAGCCTGGTCTATATAGTGAGTTCCAGGACAGCTGGGGCTACAGGGAGACCCTGCTTCAAAAAGACAAAAAAAAAAGCACAATCTGTCAAATGTTAATGCCCATTTTTTTACGGTAGAGCCATGAATCCAGCTCTAAGAGTAAGACCAGAGAAGGATATGGATTTGAAAGTTATTAGCCCATAGATGTCTTAGAAGTAGGTAAATTATCCCTCAAAATACACAGATTAGGGGAAAGGTAAGAGGGTGGACCATTTATTACTAAACATTTTACTCAGGTGTCCTCTGGGCAATAAAACCAGAGTGGTAGAAAACTAACAGAAAAGAATTGCCTAATGGTTATCAGGGGGAAAGATACTTTTAAAAGCCTTCAGAATTAAATGGTACAAGCAGATTAAGTAGAATGGCAGCTCCAAATGAAGTCTGAAATAAGACTGTGGTAGTATTAGGAAAAAAGAGATTATTGGGAATAATTCAAGAAGTATTGAGTATCTTGAGATAAAGCTGTCATTTGTGGGCTGTGAAGTCATACATTACTTGTTCAGTGAAATATTTTCCTTTTGAAATCCTAATTTTCTATCCTAATGATTTTTTTTTTTTTTTTCTCTGTATGAACCAGGTCCCAGATGCAATAAAAAAATGTCAGAGGGCTGGAATTACTGTGCGGATGGTCACCGGTGATAATATTAATACTGCTCGGGCTATTGCTACCAAATGTGGCATTTTACATCCTGGGGAAGATTTCCTTTGCTTAGAAGGTAAAGATTTTAACAGAAGAATACGAAATGAAAAAGGAGAGGTAAGGATTTCTTTTTAAGTTTTTGAATTGATACTTTTTTTAGTGTATTAGTAATTTCATTCAGCCAATATATATTGAATATGCACTCTACGTTAGGTACCAAACATAAAAGTGCTGTTAGGAAATAAACATCCTAGCCTTCTAGGGGATAAGAGAAACAAAGTTATGAAGAAATTGGTCCTAAAATGGAATATGTCTTAGAAGAATGCTTTATAAAGCAGTTGGCTATATGTCAAGACTGGTTTCATAAGTACAGCATGCATTGGAGATTCACAGGGTGATGGGCAAAAGCTAGTGTGGAATGCATTTTAGGAGACCACAGATCTCAGCTTTTCATGCTAAGGAAGTTTCATTTTCATAGGCAGAAATTAAATTTGATAGTATGATGTATGTATTAGTGGTTTTCCAACTTGAGCATGTATTAGAGTCACCTAGAGAGCTTGTTAGAACAGATTGATGTGCCTCACCCCAGAGTATTTAAAGTTAGACCTGAGGCCATACCCAAGAATTTGCAATTCTGTCAAGTTCCTAGGAGTTTCTATTACTCTTTTGACTATACTTTTTTTAAAACACTGAAAAATACGGCAGTGAACTACTTTGGAATTATGGAACTAGATTTGGCACATTTTAACTTTGATAAAAATTTATAGATTGAACAAGAACGGATAGACAAGATTTGGCCAAAGCTTCGAGTACTTGCAAGATCATCTCCTACTGACAAACATACACTGGTTAAAGGTGAGTAGATTTTGTAACTATTTCAGTTTCTTAGTGCAGAAATTTGTTCTGCTCCCTAAAGTTTTAAAATTAGATTGAGTTATGAATAGCATTTAGATATATTTTCTTCTGATATCTTTGGCTAATTTCATTTATCTTCAGCTATTAAAATGATAGTGCCTTGCTCCATATCTAAACAGATTCCTCTTTTTTTCTCCCAAGAACAGTAAGTACTCATTTACTTTTTTGAAACAGGGTTTCACTCTATATACCAGGCTGGCCTCAAACTCAGAGAGGTACCTGCCTCTGCCTTCTGAGTACTAGGATTAAAGGCATGCACTACCACGCCCTAATAAATAGACAGTTTTCATTTTTATGTTTGCTTAATTATATATCTGTAACATTTATTCTATAAACTGACGAGTCAGGATATTCTACAGAACTGTTTTATTTAAGAAGACTTATAACACATTTTTTTTTTTTTAAGGTATAATTGACAGCACAGTCTCAGAGCAACGCCAAGTTGTAGCTGTGACTGGTGATGGTACCAATGATGGCCCAGCACTAAAGAAAGCAGATGTTGGATTTGCAATGGTAGGAATTTACTTACTCAAATATTCCAAATGTAATTTGCTAGCTGGGTTGTTTGTCTGTTGACAGAATTACTATTGATTTTAAACGATGTCCCTCAAGATTAGTTTAAGAGGTAATAGATAAGCCTAAATTGGTTTATAAATCTAATTAGTTTATATACTAGCTTTATTAGATGCCATGAAATCTGGCTAGAAGATGATTTCTTTGGGCAATTGTAATAATACGTTATTTATTTTTTTCTCTGTGAAACATTTATATATTTGTCAACTTGGCTGAATCTTAAAACCATCTTTCTAAACAGGTTTACAACAGTGATAGCCCCAAATGTCTTTTAAAGAGTACTTGAGTGTCCTCATTTTATATAGCGATATAATCTCTGTGCACAAAATAAATTTCATTTTGACGTCTTCACCCTTGCATGTCATGCACTTTGCTCATACTCACACTCGGGCATTACCCTCTCTTATCCCTCACTCTCCTCTAGCTGGTCCTCCACCCTCCACAGTTTACCCTTCTACTTGATGTCTTGCATATTTTTTCAATCTAGATTCTGTACATAAGAGAATGAGTTACTTTTTTTTTTAATGTTGACAGAAGTTCTACTTGTTTTCCCCCCAAGTCCTCCAGTTAAGCTCTTTATCTTATTTTTAGAAAATAGTGGTCCATAATCCTAATGGTCAAATTCAAAACTTAGCAGAAAAGTGTTTTGTTTTGGTTTTTTCCTCCTTAATATGCAACGCAGTCATTCTTTGCTTTAGACAGGAAAGTTTTACATTTAACTGTTCTTAGCAATTGTTGGTCCCATGTACTGTGACTGTTATGGCCATTGTGGAAGTGCTAATGTGTTTTTGTGGGAAGATAAATCCCTATTGGGAGATTTTATGATACAAAGCACATGCCTTCTTATCCTACAATACAGAGATGCTGAATTCTGAAATATCTTCTGACATTAAAGATTTCAGGTGAGAATTCATGTGTACCAGTGTATACTTGCATAAATTCTCCTCCTGGAATTTTGCTGCTTGCCTTAGTTTGTTTCTTCATTGCTGTGACAAAATACTCTGACCAATACCAACTTGGGGAGGAAAGGGTTTATTCAGCTTTCATCTCCCAGGTTGCAGTTCATCAGGGAGCCCAAGGTAGGAACTCAGGGCAGGAACCTGGAGGCAGGAGGTGGAACACAGGCCATGGAGGAACACTGCTTAATGGCTTGTTCCCCTGGCCCCTGCTCAGCTTGCTCTCTTATCCAACACAGGTCCACCTGCCCAGGGGTGGCACTACCCACAGTGGGCTGGGCCCTCCCACATCACTCAACATTCAAGAAAATGCCCCACAGACATGACCATAGGCCAGTCCAATGGAGGCAATTCCCCAATTGAGGCTCCCTCAACCCAGGTGTGTCAAGTTGACGCTAAAGCTATCCAGCACACTGCTAAAATAGAGATTTAGAAGACACACCATCTTTAATGATGAGTAAAAGAAATGGTAAAGGAAATTATATGGAAAAATTCCCCTCAAGCAAAAGCTTACGAAGAGTTGCTGAAGTGGGACAAAGAATATATAAGAGTTCTGCCTCGTGCTTTAGGCAGATGGCATCCTTCCCTTCAAGACTGTTGGCTGCATTTCGCATTAGCAGGGTTCTGCTACTTCACCCTGAGAACTGACCAGGAAGACAAAACTAGTTCATGGAATACATGTTTTTATCTCAAAATTTGGGTGTAAGATCGATCCTGTGGGTCTCAAGTAAGTGTAAGATACACCAAGGCAAATCAGAAATACAGTCTATGGGCTTCGCTGTTAGTGGGTTTTGTTTGTTTCTTTTGCTTAAGCTCAGGGTTTTTGCTGTTTTACCATTTATTTTTAATGAAAACTCATCAAAAATCTAAATTTACTTTAAAAGTAGTAAGTACTGAGTGGCTTTGATTTGAAACTGTTCTGGTGGAAACTTGACTTCTGATGAAGTCAAAGTCAGTTTGGACACAGGCATGCATAAAAAAACTGTTTAATCTTTTTTAATCAAAAGTTTCTGAACCTGGGGCTAAAGAGATGGCTCAGCAGTTAAAGGCAGTAACTTTAGCTCTTTCAGAAGACTTGGGTTTGGTTCCCCTCATGGACAGCTAACAGATTCCCTCTTCTGGCCTCAGTGGGTACTGCACACACATGGTATACTTACATAAATGCAGGCAAAACACTCAAAATAAAATTTTTTTTAGGTTTCCAAAGTTATTTGATTATATAATTAGTTTTCTTTGGATACCAGTTAACCTCTTTCAGTTACCTTTTAATTTTGTAAGGATTTTGGACAAGGATGTGAAGTAGTTTGCGTTTATAACCTTTAAAAAATGATTAGAATCAGGGAACTGATTCGAATCAAGTAAAACTGAGATTATGACCCATAGAGTAACATTTCAACTTATAGTTGTTCTGTAATTGACATATTTTGTAATGTTTAATTTCAGTTTTTATTTAATGTTTTATTAAAACATTATTTGTATAGCATTTTAAAAGTAAGGTATTGGAGCCTCCTACCACATACCATTTCCTCCCCTTTATCTTTTGATTCTCAAAAGGAAACTTACCTGTAAACTGTTTCTATCTCTTATCTCTAAATCATGTTATTCTGGTTCTGTATCACTTTATAATACAAAGTGTTAGCTACCAACTTTCATCCAGAAAACTGAGAACTGGGGGCTTTGCTTCATGTAGATTCACACTCATTGCCTGTCTCATTCTTCCAGTAGAACTATGTCATCATTTTGGTTAAGTCATTATTCAATTCTACTGTGACTGTGTGCCTTTCCAAGCTGAACCATGTGATCTACTATGGTTAATTTTCCTTTCTTATGCAACTTTTTGTATTCTCTATAAATTATCTTTTTTATTCACTTAACATTTTTTTTAATTTTTCCATACTTTTTAATGTACTTGACACTAGTTTATTCCAAGATTCTCCTTAGTACAAGAGACGCTTAGCAGTCTTTCCATTCTATTATTTCAGCATCAGCATATGAAATTTATCTGTTGCATATCAATGAGTTAACTAGTTTTTATTAACCTAGTCTCCAGACTACCCCATTCTGTTGTCAGCAGTGTGTTACTAGCTTGAGGCTTCTCATTGCTTCTTCAGTGTCTTCAGACCTTCAAGAGCTCTTTTCATTTCAGCTCTAAGTACTCTCTGAGATTGCCAGTCCTGGGCTTTACAGGAAGGGGGCCGGGGGGCGGGGGGGAGGCTTTCCGCACTGATGGCTGAAGCTCCAGATTCCTTCAGTCTGTTATTTGCCATCCAGTCATCTTTCATGTTTCACCCTTGTGTATGATGTCTTCTGAACCAGAATGTTTTTTTCAGTGGCATCTTAAAATCACATTATTACCTTTTTTTTTATTTATTTATTTATTTATTTATTTATTTATTTATTTTTATTTATTTATTTTGGTCTTTTTGAGACAGGGTCTCCCGGTAGCCCCAGCTGGCCTGGAACTCACTATGTAGACCAGGCTGGCCTCGAACCCACAGAGATCGGGCTGCCTCTGCCTCCCGAGTACTGGGATTAAAGGCATGTGCCACCACGCCCAGCATATTAATGACCTTCTTTTAACATAAATTTATTCTTTGTACACATTCACTCTGTTTATTATCCTTTTGAATATGTGAAACATATTTTAAACATATAATCTAATTCACAGAATTTTTTTAACAGGGCATTGCTGGAACTGATGTGGCTAAAGAGGCATCTGATATTATTCTCACCGATGACAACTTTACAAGCATTGTTAAAGCAGTTATGTGGGGACGAAATGTTTATGACAGCATCTCAAAATTCCTTCAGTTCCAGCTTACTGTTAATGTAGTAGCAGTGATTGTTGCTTTCACGGGTGCTTGTATTACTCAAGTAGGTGACAGTTTGTTGATATTTGTTTATTTTAAAGCAAAAATTATAATCTACCCTTTAAGAACCCTTAAATATTTAAATAAGATGAAGATTATGTTTTTAGTTAATTCACTTAAAAATATAATCTGTTTTGTTCCTTAAGTTTTTATAATCCTAAAGGCTTCCTGAAAGTTGCTGTCTCCCTAAGCAGTTGTGAGTGTCTATTAGGAAGCATGTCTTTTCTAGGACTCACCGCTTAAGGCTGTGCAGATGCTGTGGGTCAACCTCATCATGGACACGCTTGCTTCCCTGGCTCTGGCAACGGAACCACCCACCGAGTCACTCTTGCTTCGTAAACCTTATGGTAGAAATAAGCCTCTCATCTCACGCACAATGATGAAGAATATTTTGGGTCACGCATTCTACCAGCTTGTGGTGGTTTTTACACTCTTGTTTGCTGGTAAGAATCCAATCTCTAATGAAGCTTCAGTTAAAGCTTTCTATTGCAAGTTAATGTCATTCAACATGTTTCAATGTGACAGAGGTTTCAAAAGTCTTTTCTTCCCGAACTCCACATCTCTTTAATTTCTCGTGGTTCTCAGTGGTGCTTAGTCAATTTTGAGAGGATTATAAATAACGGGGGAAATAAAGATATTTGACTTTTTTATATTCTGGCTATACCGCCGTGTTAAATATGTGGTCCAGTTTTAGGGGTTTCCAGTTCTTTATAAATAAGAGTTGTACTAAATGTCCCCAGTTTCCCCTACAGCCCTTTCTGTGTCTGGCTAGGCTTTATTATTATGCACTTTTTAAAAACATATTGCATTATTTTTAATGATAATTACAAAATAATAATTTTTTGTTTCAGGGGAGAAGTTTTTCGATATTGACAGTGGAAGAAATGCTCCTCTGCACGCTCCCCCCTCGGAACATTACACCATTGTTTTTAACACCTTTGTGCTGATGCAGCTGTTCAATGAAATAAACGCCCGGAAAATTCATGGCGAAAGAAATGTGTTTGAAGGAATCTTTAATAATGCCATCTTCTGTACAATTGTTTTAGGCACCTTTGTGGTACAGGTGGGTAAATGGAAAAGAGGTTTCAGTGATTAATATACAGGACACAGTTGGTAAACAGGTACCTTGTTCTAGAAATTACTTGTTAGCTGGGAAGGGAGCTTCTGTATATGGCCTTGTGATGTCTGTCTAGTGTTATGTTGCTCTAAGGTGGGTACTAAAAATATGAAAACTTGTCTCTTTCTTAGAAGTAAGTTCCACAACTACCTAAGCAAACAACTTTATTTCTTCCAAATATAAAATGGAGTGACTTAATGAAATTTTTCATGTCACCCAATCACAGAATTACTGATTTTCCCCAATACCTTAATGTCTTACTTTTCATGCCCATCATCAAAAAGGTCTTTTAATCCCAGCATTTGGGAGGCAGAAGCAGGCAGTTCTCTGTGAGTTCCAGTCCAGCTGGGACTACAGGGAGACCCTGTCTCAAAAACACCAAAAAAAAAGAAATCTAGAATACACATCTTTATCTTCTCAATTTACTAAAGAAAAATGATTATAGCTTCATTTCCATATGAAAATCAAGACCTCATAGCAAATCAGTTATAATCTAATTGATATCATGCCACTAATGAACAATTAGGACTCTCTGTATAAATAATTTTGACATTAAAAAACAGTGGATCTAACAAATTCAAAGAATTGAATTTATAATGCTTCCAAAGGTTTAAAAATGACTTTTTAATTTCAATATTTCACAATTTAAGATACATTGAAGAGCTGTCACAGATGAAGGTGAATATTTTGTTACTGACTGCTTCATATTCCTAGCTGTACTGTTTTAGAATGTTTAAAATAAGGAAGGATGCATAAGAACTTTATTATGAATTTTATTTATGTGGGTCACTTTTGAACGTACCACCCGAGCTGACCCACATTTCATAGAACTTTGCCAGCTTGCTTTTCTTCTTTTACAGTTCATGCATAGTTATCTTACATATAAATGTTAACTAGGAATGAGAAAACGGGATGGCATATTCTCTCTGCTTCTTCATAACATACAGTGTTTCCCACAAAACACATACCATCTTTCATGATAGCCATAAATTATTCAAAACATTATATAAAGTACAAAGGAATGTATCTATTAGGAGTGTATTTGAAACAGCATACAGGCATTCTTTTGATCATGAGATTTTCTTTAATTTTTAGTAAGTATAATTTGTTAAGTGTATATATAAATTTGGGGCAGAGATTTTACTTTTAGTTGTCTTATTTTCAGCTCTGACTATTATAAATAATAGTGGCTGTTCACTTTCAGTGTTCGAAGACATGAATTTGTTTTAAGAATGTGGATTTCAAATTTCAAATGCTTTAAACAAATGTGCTCTTGATTATTCCTCCAGATAATAATTGTGCAGTTTGGTGGAAAACCTTTCAGTTGTTCAGAACTTTCAATAGAACAGTGGCTATGGTCAATTTTCCTAGGAATGGGGACCTTACTCTGGGGCCAGGTAAAAATCTCGTCATTTTTTGTTAAAATCTAAAGTAGTTTTTTGAAAAACTTCTACAGTGTATTTTTTTAGTTAGTTATGTTACTTGATTGTGGATAGTTATCATGTGTCAAGATAGGGAATTCTGAGTAGTATGGTTTTTTTGTTTATAATTTTTTAATGTCCTGCTTGTTCTAATGTATCACTTGTTGTTTATTATGCATGCTAGTCTTATGTTTATTTCTAGCTTCTTTTTTTAAGACAAGTTTTGTAGCAATTATAACGTATTTATAACTGGTTCAAATGTTTATACCTGTATCTTTTATCACCTACTTTTATATTTTCAGAGTAATTTTTATAGAAGTGTAACATTTAATTATGTTGCTGTGCAATTTAATCCAAAATAAAGCCTAGGAAAAGCTTTGAGCTTCAAAAACAGTTCATAAAAATCACAGTATCTGCAAGAAACAGCCACAAAATGACATTTTAGAGTATTTGAATAGTTTTAATAATGTGTATATAAACTGCAATGCCACAGAAGTGAGATAACACCTCAGCATTGGTCAGCTTACCTGCAAATGCATGCCATTAGTTTTAAATGCGAGCAGTAATGACCTGCATTATTACCGTAAAACCAGCTGATGGTACTCTCATGCACATAAATACAGATTAGCATGTTACAGTGTATAACTTGTGTAAGCTAATTGATTGTTCTTCTACAAGTCACACCAAACTTTTGAGTTTTATTTAGCTCAGCCTTTTATCCTCTTTTTCTTAATTGTGTTTCTGGGTTCTAAGTTTTTCTTCTTAGCCATATCTTCTAAAAACCTCATTCTTAGAGATCGTTTGAGAAGATTCCTACTTGGTCCACATTTCTTTTTTTGATTACCATTCTAATTATTTTGTAATGTTCTCTGATAGGCAGAGCACAGCCTCCTATAGTTCTGGCTAATTTCAGGAAGAGGAAATGGCAGTACAGCACACGTTTTGTCTGTTGGTTTTCATTGTGTGATGGTAGAAAGCACTCTGGCTTTGGTGGCCAGGGGACCTGGAACCTTAGCCATTCCATGAGCAAGTCACTTCACATGTCTGAGTCTGTTTCACCTCAGTGAAATAAGATGGTAGGACTAGAAGCTCTCCAAGCTGTTCTGTGTCTTGACTGCATCTTTATTTCCTCTTGGAAAATCCGAACCATAGGCATTGCCTATTAGTGCTTCTAAGCTAAAATATACTTAATGATGCATTTGATGTCCTTGACATTTTTGGAGACATCTGTTGGTATTTAATGTCATTATCAGTCAGTGTTAATTCAATTTTAAATTGCTAAGTTTTATAAAAATACAGTTAACCAAACTATTTTCAGTATAACCTTAATGATTTTTAATGAGTTCTGATGAGTTTTTTCTTGTTGAACTTTTATAGCAGTAATGAATTACAAGTTTGTTTTACTCCCGGTAAAACCACTTGCCATTTCATTTTATTTGAAGTAAATGTAATTAATATGAGTTTAAATGGAAATATACACATTAAAACATGGTTAAACAGTTTGCTGTCATGAACGTCTAAATTAAAAATATGAAAAATATAGTCAAATTAATTCCTATTACAGAGAAACGTTTTATCCTTTAAACTCAGATCTTTATGTAATAGAGAATAATTTCTGTTCTGGAAATATCTGACCAACATGCTCTCATTGCTTCATTGGTGAAGATGAGTGGATAGTCTCACAACCTTTAATACCTTAAGTTCTTTCCCCTGTGTTGTAGCTTATTTCAACAATTCCAACTAGCCGTTTAAAATTCCTCAAAGAAGCTGGCCATGGAACACAAAAAGAAGAAATACCTGAGGAGGAATTAGCAGAAGATGTTGAAGAGATTGATCATGCTGAAAGGGAGTTGCGGCGTGGCCAAATCTTGTGGTTTAGAGGTCTGAACAGAATCCAAACTCAGGTATGGTTCTGGTAGAGAGGTAGGAGAGCTGATGGGAGCAAGGGGTTTTTACCTGGGGAGGAGGTCTGTGTTCTCTATAACTGCTTTTCTAGCCTTCCCAACCTAAAAAATTTATTCTTTTGAAAAAATACTACTGATGGATGAACTGAATGAAACTTTTAACTGATTATGAAAGAATGTGTCTTATATACCCTAAGCTTTTTTCCTTTTATTTTCCCCTTTCATCTCAAAATGCCACACTTGCCTATTTATCTGCTCTGTAAAAGTGCCTTTTTCTTTACTTTTTAAATGTTGATAGATGGAACGGTCCTTTCTCTTGTTCTCTCTCTCTTGCTGAGCAAGCTGTCACAATCTCTGATTCCTTGCAGATGGATGTAGTGAATGCTTTCCAGAGTGGAAGTTCCATTCAGGGGGCTCTAAGGCGGCAACCCTCCATCGCCAGCCAGCATCATGATGTAACAAATATTTCTACCCCTACACATGTAGTGTTTTCCTCTTCTACTGCTTCTACTACTGTGGGGTGTGAGTGTGTGTTCCTAAGTGCATGAAATTAACATTTCCTACTTCACACACCTAACGTTTCTCATTTTCTCCTTAATGTTTGAATTCATTGTTCAGGCTTTTCATAAAGCTTTCTTTTTGTAAAGTGGATTGAGACCTCAAAGTGTTGTCATTGTTGTTGTTTTATTTCTTAGAGGGTTAGATAACAGGTGGAGCAATTGGAACCAAAGATTAGATATGAAATCTGTGAGCTTGTCTCTATGCTAACTTTATAGCTAATATGGGGAATAAAATTGTGGCTTAGAATTTATGAAACTACTATAAATTTTTGAGTATATGCCTTGAACATGTTCATACTGCATGGTTCCCAGAAGCATGTGATTTGAAACTGAGATAAGTGGACCAGAAAAATGCATTTATAAAGCTAAAGAATGTAACATTTCAACTTTTACACAGTCCAATTGAGAAAAAAAGTTAGTAGCATGAAGAAAAGTTGTAATATATATAACCAGTTGCTTGCCTTCCTAACCAGACTTTATTTGCCTTGTTATGTGTATTTTTTAAGAAGAGGTCCCTGAATAAGCTTTTATACTATTTATATTGATTGGCTTCTTGGGCTTTTTCCATTTATGCAGTCACTTTAGCTTAAAACTGTCATAATGTTCTGCTCTTGCAAACAAAATTAGAGAAAGTATATTTTTCATTAATTACTGAATGATTCCATATTAATACCCACATATTGACTACTATTTAACTCATTATTAACAAAAAATTTTTTCAGGTTTTCAATTAATGACAGATTCTTTTTGCAAAGCCTTATAACTCACATTTTACTGCCAATTAGGGTCTTCTGATTTCTTAGTGAATTTTCAGTATATACAAACACTAAAAATATTAACCCAGCCACATCACTAAGATTCCTGAAATTATTAAAGCTAAAGTTCTATTGGGCAGAAACCTGTCTTTTTCATTTGCTGTCCAGCTAGCAAACAGCAAGGACTAGCCATGGCACACTGTGGAGAGTGAATTAAGGAACACAGTAGGACACACTTTTTATTCAATACCTGTTTGTTCACTGTTTGCATAAATAATTTTTATTTGATGTTTTTCACAATGTTATAAAACAAGCAGAACAAGAACTGTCCCCATTTTCCATGTGTGAACACTGACATAGTATAAACAATTTGCTAACAAGTATAGGCAGCACAGTATAAAGCAAAGCAGACAAAGTGCTCTAAAGACAAAGTGAACTTGTAACGCTAGGATGCTGCATTTACTTTGGCAGATAGGAGTTTTCCTTTTAAAACTTACCTGAATGAAATGGTAAATGTAAACTGCCTTGTGCTTGGTACAGTAATGTCTGTTGCATTCTTCCCCTGTGGATTTGGCACTATCTAGCTCACTCAGCCATTCATCCCAGAATGGTAGATGTTCCACAAACATTTATGAAAGAGCTGACACATGCCAGAGCTATTCTAGAGCCTCCAGAACCTGCAGTCCAGTAAAAGAAACAGCAAGAGTTGTAAATTTCTACTTGATAATGCACAGAATATTTGTTTCTGGGGTCCTTAGCCTCCTTGGAAAGTCACGAAGAGGCCAAGCTAAGACTTTTCTCTGAAAGACCTTAGTCCTTCCCCTAAAATTTGAAGTATTTCAAACCTCTGGACAAGTTGAGAGATTTAATATAGTACATGAATATCTTTATGTGGATTCACCACATCATACAATGTTTTGTGACCCTAGGCCTCATATGTTAATACTTCTTATCTGAACCATTTCCTTCTCTGAACCATTTAGAAATGGTAGATATGGTATTTCATTTCTACAGACTTTAGTATATACCTAAGAATAGTGTTCTATATTACTGTATTCAAAAAATTTAACACTGATACCATATTACCAAATAATATAGTCCATATTCAGATTTTTCCAGTTGCCCCAAAAATGTCCTTTTGTAGCTTTTTTTCATCTAGGATCTAAGAAACAATAATTTGTATCATCCCTTAGGCTGTAGCCTAGATCCGTTCCCTATTGTTATTTTTCATGACACAAACTTTTAGAAGAGTTTATACCTGTCATCCTTGTTGGTATTTTGTGTTGTTTTAGTTTTAGGGTGTTTGGTTGGTTGGTTTTGAGATGGTCTTATTCTGTAACCCAGGTTATCCTCAAACTCACAGTGATCCTTCTGCCTTAGTTTCGTGGGTGCTGGAGTTACAGGCATGAGCCACATGCCCAGCCTAGTGTCCTAGATTGGACACCCCCCACTGCTGGCCACAGACTCTTTTCTGGTATATACCTATATATAAAAACTCTTGAGTCTGTTGGATTCATGTGGTCAAGAGAGTGATACCTCACGTCAGGAAGTAGAGGTGGCAAAGGAAAGACAGTGCTGTTCATTCATTAGCATTTGAGGTGTTTACTTCTTTTGTATCTTAGGTTCTCAGAACATAAGGTATCCAGGGACTAGATCATATTTTGCTAGTGAGGTAATTGTTACATACAGTCACAGTAATTATATTGCTGTTATCTTAAATTTCTTTGAACCTTGCTGATGGAACATTGTTATGGGTGCTGCAGAATATCTGATAACAGAATTCATTTATTTTTTAATGTATGCATATACACATAATTTTAGTGTGGTTAATGGCAGCTTAATTACTTCTGTGTTTCTGCCCTAACATTGTATTGTCTTACAAATATTTATGAATGGGGCTGGAGAAATGGCTCATTGAAGAGTGCTTTGCTGTTCTTCTGGAGGACATAAATTCAAAGTATCTATATCAGGTGGCTCAAAACCACCTGTAACAGCACCTCTACAGGTTCCAACAGCATCTTCTGGCTTCTTCAGGCACCCACACACACATGTGGCACATACTCACTCACACATACACATAATTAAAAATTTTTTTTAAATCAATCTTTGGGGGCTGGAGAGATGGCTCAGTGGTTAAGAGCACTGGCTGTTCTTGTGTAGGACCCTGGTTCGGTTCCCAGCACCCACATGGCAGCTAACAGCCATCTGTAACTTCAGTTCCAGGGGATCCAGTGCTCTCTTCTGACCTCTGCAGGCATTGCACAACATGGGTACACTTACATACATGCAGGCAGGCAATACTGTGCACATAAAATAAAAATAATAAATAATATTTTTAAAGAATAACTTTTTTAAAAAACAAATCTCTGTAACTGACAAATTCCTTTGACTCATTTGGAACTCTTAATTTATTAAATAGAAGAAATAATCATGTCAACGTTGTCAAATACTAGACTTGGAACATCTCTAGAGAGTTTCACCTTTTTCCAGTCAGTCATCTACAAGCTCTTCGTTCTTTAAAGTCTCTAGGGAAAGCATTGCCTAATTCTTCCTTGTTTATAAAAATACTTAATTCTAATACCCTTCATCATTATTAAATCCTATTACTCAACAAATAATTAAGCCTCCTGCAAAAAAGAAAGAAAAATTGGTCTTTAAAGCAAAAGGTCTTCAGATTCTAGCCTGTGAGCTAAATCTACCATGCCTCCTGCCTTAGAAAATACATTTTATCAAAACACAGCTAATCTCTCATCTTTAAGTATTTCCTATGGGAGCTTTTGCACTGTGAGAGCAGAGTTGAGTAGTTATGAATGAGACCATATGGCTCAAAAAAATCCAGCATTTACTATCTGTCCATCGCAGAGAAAGATTCCAGATAACTGAACTATTACACAAGTGACTCGCCCTTTGAGAAAAGCCACTGTGCATTTATTTACTGAACTTAGAAAACTAGTCTAGAATTTGGGGGGGGGGGGGTTATAAAATATTTTTTACTCTACCACTAAAGTTCTTTAAATTAGTGTTTCTAATAAAAAATAATGGTGAATAAAAACTTCAAAAGTGGACATTCTATTGTAGAAGATTTTAAGCTTGTGATTAATTTAGTGCTGTATTTTAGAGCGGTCTGCCTGCATGCCATGTTTTCAGACATTATAGCTGATTGTGTTATTAAAAATTAGAATGCGTAGAAAAGCAGGTATTTTGCAGGGTACATGATATTGTTTTGATTTTTGTATTTCTTACATAGAAAGTGTTGTTTTGATTGATAATCACTTCAGTTTTTGATGTTTACCATATATGCTTCAGGCAGTTTTTCTTCTGTTGAATAATTTATTAAAATTTTTCTGGATGTAGAATCATTGAATTTTTCTTAGTTCTGATAATTTCAGGAAGTGTGTTCTGTACATAATAGGTCTTAATAAATTTGAAGTAGCAATTAAATATAAAGAAAGGATAACTAGCAAGGCTTAGATGGTCAGTAATGGGAAATTAGGGTTTCTGCTTAATATGTAATTCCTACCTGATATATCATGCATAAAATGATTCATCAGAATTACTTTTATATTGTGAGAATTTTACATATGAAATGCAGTGAAGGGTAAGTGTAAGTTAGTTCAGTATGTTTAGAGTTCTTTCTCCACCATTTGAAATAATTACTTTGAGGATGAAAATGTATTATTTTGGCTCACAGTTTTGGATGTTCCAGTCTGTGGTGCAGGAGCCACATTGCTCTTGGGTTGTGCTGAGTCAGCACATCATGACAGGAACACATAGTGGAGCAAAGTCATATATAATGAGTCAGGAGCAAAAAAAGGGAGGACAGGATAGAATCAATAATCCTCTTTATGAGCATGCCACCAATAACTCAGTGACCTCCTACAAGGCCCCACTTCTCACCCATACCACTGCCTTCCAGTGTCTGTACCCTGAGGAGCAAACTTTTAACACACAGGAGACATTCAAGATTGAACTACAGCACTGTGGCATGCTTTAGGTCAGGAGTACTTTTTAGTTATGTTCTTTATAAGTAGATAAAGAAATCTAGCCCAGGGACTCTTGGTTAATCTAGGTATTTGTTGTGTCTATCTACAGTGAAAACTATCCTTTTACTATATGCATAACTAACCACAGTCCTGTGGCATTGGAGGACGTGTAGGAAGGAAGCATAATTTTAATCTTTTTTAAATTTTTTATTTTTATTTTACGCGTATGAGTGTAATGCCTGCATATAGGTGGGTGCACCTGTGCTATGCAGTGCCCACGGAGGTCAGGAGAGGGCATTGGAGCCCCTGGAACTGGAGTTACAGATGGTTATGAACTTCCATGTGGGTGCTGGGAATCAAACCCACATCCTGTGCAAGAGCAGCTAGTACTCTTAACCGCTGAGCTATCTCTCCAGCCCAATAATTTTAATCTTGTGAAATGTTTTACTGTGGTGAAGGAAATGGCAAAGTAAGTGTGTATATGTTCTTTACTAACTTATGCATAACTCTTTTACTGACTTCCAAAGACCTAGAATTTGGAATTGAGAAACATGGGTCCTCAAACCCTTGGCATCAAGTTAAGCGTGACTGAACAAGGATCTCTTTTGCTCAGTTTCTTCATTTATAAAATATTTGAACAAAATATCTAAATGTCTTTTCCGTAAATTCAGATAGAGAAAACAGATTTTAGTTTTGATAAAGGAACTTTACTGGTTTCGTGTGTGTGTGTGTGTGTGTGTGTGTGTGTGTGTGTGTGTGTGTGTGTGTGTTGGGGGGGGGTCTGCACACCTGGTGCCCTTGCCTGCTCCATAGTTATCCCTCTCAGAACTTGAGAACTCACAACTGTCTGTCTTAAGGACATATATTTCTTTTAAGTGTTAGATTTTTTTTTTACAAATTTAACATATACCAAAAAAAAGGGATTTATTTCCTCCTCGAGTCTTACGTCTTTTACCCAAACTGGTTTAAAAACAAAATAGAGCTTGTGTATCTCTCCATTGACCACAGTGCCAGAAGCATCTTCAAATAAGCAACAACTTCAGGGTCATTTGAACCTTCACATTTGCTGACTGAGCCTCCGATTTGTATTCTTAGTGCCTGCTGGCTGCTGGCAGCAACAGATTTTTTTTTTTAAGGAAGTTATCTTTTTTTTTCTTTTTAAACTTCATAGATTAATATCAGGACAGTCAAAATACACGTTAAATACAGTCTTAGTTAGCTTTCTTTTGCTGTGATAAACACCATGAGCAGAAGCAACTTTGGGAGGAAAGAGTTTATTTGGCTTACACTTCCATTTCATCACTGAGGGGACAGACTCAGGGTAGGAACCTTGAGGCCAGAACCAAAGCAGAGACCATAGAGGAACACTTCTTACTGGCTTGCTCCTCTGGCCTGTGCTCAGCCTGCTTTTTTATATAACCCAGGACCCCTGCCCAGGGATGGCATCATCCATATTGAACTGGGCCCTCCTTCATCACTAAACAATCAAGAAAATGCCTCACAGAAATGCCTACAGGCCATTCTCATAGAGGAAATTCCCAGTCATGGCTCTGGTCTTCCCAGGTGTGTCAAGTGGCCAACTGAAGCTGTCCAGCACAAATGCCCTGTATAAATATCTGAAATTTATACAGTGTTCCATAACAAAACATTAACAATGTGTGTAGCAAGCATTCTTAACATCTCATGTGTTAAACATTTTATAGCAATAAAAGGTAAGGGAGCAAAAACAATTGAAAATGTGTTTGATGCAGTTTGTTAAAATAAATAGAAACACATGAATAAAATAGAATTGTAAAATAGTATATGATAAAATAGCAAGATAGTATAGACAAGATGCCTGGGCTCCAAATGTGGATATGGCCCAGCCAGGTCAACGTCAACTGCAAGGTTGTTGGAAATGGAGATTCTCCCTCTGCTGGGTGGGAATCTGCATTTTACCAAGATCTCCAGTTAATTCATATGCACATAGAAGTCTGAGAAGTTCTGGGATTCACAGGCTAAGACTGCACTAATGTACCGTAACAACCCCATAAAGAGTAGGAACCCATGTTACTTCCCATTTATAGATAGCTGAGGTATCCTTTGACCTCTATTCCTTAGCCTCATCTAGTAAATAGAAGACAGAAACACACTTTACTTCTCTCTGCTGTATTCTCTGTATACGAAGAGCCAAGTTAATATAGACTAAAGCAGCATATGAACAGGGATTGCTATACAGGAAAGAAAAATAGAGAGGGTTATTAGAAGGGCCCTAACTCTATACTCTTAAAATATGCATTTAAATGTTCTTTTGAATAAATTTCTTAATTACTATTATCCTATGAGATGATTTCAGTGGTTACTATTTTCTTCCGCAATATCGGGTGTTATTTCTCTTAGCCTGATGAGTAAGAGGTGCCTTTGTTAGTAAAATTAGAATTACATCAGAAGCAAATAGTGATTTGAACTGATGAGAGTGCTCAGCTGTATATGGATCTTATCTCTTAAAACTTGAATGACACTGCTTTATCAAAGCCTTTAGTCATCACTGCAGAGAAATTTTCATGCTTGTCATTAACCTTTCCTTTGTTACAGCAGCCCTCTAAGCAGAAAGGTAATTTGTTAAGCTATATGTCTAAATGTCATTACTAGAAAACTTTAAAACTTTGTCTTTTCCTTGGGAAATTTTTCCCAAAATAACAATGGATATTTTGTTTGTTTGGGATCTGTTTTTTCCAGAGAAGTATAGTGATTAACTTATGTTATAGAAAAAAAATACTAACACTTCGTAGAAAAATGGCATATACTCAAATATTTATAGCTGTTTAGTAGCATTTATAGATATTTGTTTGGGCTTTGTCTTTTAGTTTTTCATTGAGGGAGTGGTGGGGTAGATGTGAGTTCATTGTGGCATTTGGCTTATATTTGCTTGGCTCTTTCATAGTTGGTGACACCTAATTCCGAGCATGATAAATAGCATTCCTTTGTGCTTGACATTTTAGCTTCAGTTGTTTTTTAAAATACATTCTTTTTAATTTAAAGAAAAATCAGCAAAGCTTGTGTATGGTTAAGTTTTCATTATGTTTGTTTTTTGTTTGTTTTGTTTTCTTAGGGAAAAAATCCTATTAAATGGCTATTAAATTTTTAGCCAGTGACATTGAGATTTTGTTAGTGTTACTTTGAATATATACTTCTTAATTCTTAGATATGTGGTTTTGTTGTTCTGTAGTGTCCTACTAAAATATTCATTTTTTTACAGTGTATTGCAAGTTCCACTGCATTACATGCAAATATGATTCACTCATACCTAGCTGTTTGTGGATTCAAACTCATAGATAAACCATTTTTTTTAGTTAAGTTACTAGTGTACTGACATCTTTCTGTGTTTTCTGATATTTCCAGATTCGAGTGGTGAATGCATTTCGTAGTTCTTTATATGAAGGGTTAGAAAAGCCAGAATCAAGAAGTTCAATTCACAACTTTATGACACATCCTGAGTTTAGGATAGAAGATTCAGAGCCTCATATCCCCCTTATTGATGACACTGATGCTGAAGATGATGCTCCTACAAAACGCAACTCCAGCCCTCCACCCTCTCCTAATAAAAATAACAATGCTGTTGACAGCGGAATTCACCTTACAATAGAAATGAACAAGTCTGCTACCTCTTCATCCCCAGGAAGCCCACTACATAGTTTGGAAACATCGCTCTGATTGTAAGCTGAATGTTAACACACTAGCTGCATTGTAAAGAAACAAATTGAAACTGAGTCTTTTCACATATTGTGACAGACAAGATAGTATTCTTGTCTTTGGACTTCAACAGAAGACATACTTGTACGAATGTAGATTTATTTTTTTAAAAAAAAAAAAAGCAAAGCTTTCTGCCAGACTGAGGGTGCTTTTTGGGGGGTGGGAGAAATGAACTGACAGATAAACAGTAACTCAGCATAAGTGACCTGTGGATCATCAGTAGTACCTAAGAATGGTCCTGAACAGTGTATTAGCAGAGCTGTAGTTTATCTCAGTCATTGATGGGAGAGAGGGAGGAGTAAAGCTGGGTGAGACAGAGCCCTGGATCATTGAATTGATACTTTCATTTCTGCTGTTGGCTGTTAATAATTTGGATTATTTATGTTTATAAATGATACAGATCTGTTTACAAGGTTTGTAGATACTTTTTTTGTTCCTGTTCATAGATGGGAAGCTTCCTTATAACTGATGCAGAGAAAAATTAGTCCTTCAAATACTGCTGTATTTTCAGGAAAAAAAAGGGGTGTTTCTATTGAAACTGTACTAAATTTTTGCCTACAATTTACCCTGTTAAATATTGTAGAAGTGATGGACTGCGACTTGCAATTGTAAGCTGAATAAACCATTTCTTCCCCAAGTTGGTAGTGGTCAGAGTGTTTTGTCACAGCAATGAAGAAATAAACTAAGACAGTTCTTAAATACATTTACTACTTAATGGTTTTGAAACAACTGTTTAATTTTTAAATTTTTTTGAAAGCTTGCTAATAACCTTTTGTTCAGAATTTAGTAGATTGTTTAATGCAGGACATCAAATACATAACGAAAGATGCTTGAAATGCTTTTGTTATTTCAGGCAAATCAAATTAAACTATCAAACTACGTACAAGAGAACCTTAGTCCTTTTTGTTTTTGTCTAAATATGTTAGTTCAGTGATGTCTTGGTGAACTGTGAGTGAACTGTATTGATTTTTCTAATAAATCCTTAGAGACTTTCACACAGCATGAGGGCTGTTGGCATTTTGAAAAAGGTTAATAGGTAGATGCATACATGTTTTTCTTTTGTTTTTCAAACTTGTTTGTAAACATAAATAAATACACCCTTTTATTAAATAAATACACAGCAATGTTTTTTTAAGACATTTCAGCTTCTTTCCTCAATTCTGCATATGTGGTACATCATTCTGTTCTCTTTAACCACAATTAGGATAAATTTCAAGATGGTACCAGTTCCATGAAGTACTGCTTTAATTCCTTGGTGTGGTAATCTCATAGAATCAGATTGAGAGTTGTTAGAATTTTGACATTTAACATACGCTCCCTAGAAACTAGTTTGTCTAAAATAATCTTATAATTTTATAAAAAGTGATGACCACTATTTTCTTTAACACATTTATTTTAATTAAGTGGCCAAATAACAGATTAGATAAAAGGAGATTATATATGAAAAAGTGGAAAAGGCTTCTAAATAGTTACATACTGAATTAGTGATTCACCATATGCTAAAATGCCCATCTCTAAGGCAACTGGATTCTTGAGCTCCGGATTCTCTTCTGTCTATCTTCTTCCTTTGTTTGCCTCTTGTGTTTTACCCATTAGAAACTGGTATTGTTTCGGGGCGCAGATTTCACCAGATAAACAATCCTCAGGCTGACATAAGGTTTACGAGGACTGCCACATCCAAGAACGCTGACCCAGCTAAGAAACATTTAGTTGATGGTGCTTGATATTTTTTGGTGGGTGGGGGAAACCTTTTTCTCTTCATCAGTTCTTTGCAGTAATCTTCTGCAAGTCTTAGAAACACATTGGCTCTGTCGCATTATCATTGTACATTTATTCATCAGGTATTTGTAGTGACTCATACTGTAAAAAGAGGTAGCATGATATACTGGGAAGCATTTAGACTAAGAGTCAAGACCTGGCTCCTAGTCTTGATTTTGCCTTTAACGTGCTGCATGATCTTGGGGAATTCGCTCACCCTGACTGAGGGTGGGGATCTGACTCCTCTTGAAGAACCCTTTCAACTCTAAAAATTGACCCTATCCACTGAAGACGCCTACAAGGCATAGGGAATAGAGAAAAGGGAAATGTTTTCAGTTTTACTTTTTTTTGGTTATGCTTAAATATGAATGTAACTACCAAAAGATTTAGAAGTGCATGTGCTTCGGAGGGTTTGTATTGAGCTTTTACAGTATTCATTTTTCAACTCAAGGCAATGACTTTTTACACCAACTCTAATCCATAAATGGGTCTTATAACATCCATGAAGCAGTAAAAAGACATGCTTAGGGTGTGTTTCTCTCTTTGAGACACTGTAATTTCGACCAGAAATTTCCAGAGCATTATATAAATAGAAAAAACAAAAAACAACACAAACAAGCTGTTAAAGATCTTGGATCCCATTAAATAGTATGTATAGCTAAATCAGCATCTGTAATTCAATCATTTTTTCTCTTTTATTCTCTAACCAAAAAAAATTGTTTAATTTTGCATCCCAAATGTTTTTAATCTTTGTATATTTTTTAAAAATCCTTTTCTCCTCATCATTGCCTTTTTTGTGGTTGTAAATAGACTTGTTGCACTTTGAAGATGAGTTACTCCTTGTCATATTACAAATATGTGATATGGTAATTTTCATAACAGATGTC